CAGTTATATACGCTACTGCATAATCTTATCCAAGTATGAGAACTGTAACTGAGTTTGTTTTTGAATCATTAGTCATTAGTACTTTAAGAACACTATTACATTATACAACTATGCATATTAAATTAGTTTCAACCAGAAACACTACCTTGTTGCAAAATTATTATAAAGTTAGTTAACATTAAGACTGAATACATAATAAAGCTAATTCATATTTTGGGTTATACGGAGAATACAATCACTTAATGCCTTTTAATCATCTGCAACATTTGTAAAAGAGTGAACTATTAATAATACTAGATAATGAAAATTCCTTTTAGTCTTAAGGGCCCCTCCTAAATATCAAAATTGAAAACAAACAATACACTGTTTTAAGAGTATGGGCTCTGGACTCGGACAGCTGGGTAAACTTTAACATTTACCAAATGTGTGACCTTATGTAAATTACTTCATTCTCCCTGTGCCTCAGTTTCATCATCTGCAAAATGAGGGTATTAATAGCATCTACCTTGTGGGGTTTTGAAAGAACTATATGGAAAACTGTACTTAAAATGTTCATGAGAGTAGGGGACACACAGAAATGTTTGATAAATGTTAGCTAGTACTACCACTATTATTATTAGCCCCCAATTTACTCACTGATCATGACTTTCATTCTGTATTTTTATAAAATCAAAGGGAAAATGCTATCCTATAGGATTTTAAATTCTTATTTCCAACACTTCTTGCACATCAGTAATGTGCCAGGTACTACGTTAGACATAAGGAATTGCAAACACCATGGATTTTTGGTCAATGAGCAAGTTACATAACAAATTTTTTATAGGAACATAAAGATATACATTGCCTTGAACTCTGGTACAGTATGTCACACTGTGAAAAACAAAGCTATCAACAACAATGGTGTAGGCGGTTGTTAACAAATACGAATTTTAGAAATATAATAAGTAGAATAAATTCCATTTAGCGTCAATGGTAGAGACTGCTGTTCAGTGTAACAAATTTTGCCAGAGGTTTCATCAACCACTTGGGAAGCACAAAAGACTGGAAAAGAGCCTGGTAATCTGAGTCTGACTGCTGGACTTTATAGCTCTGCTCAACTTGGCACACAATAGATGCTCAATAATTTGTCTTGTCTAAGATACTATGACTAAAGAAGTATCCAGAGTTAACACTGATTCAGAGAAGAGATTGCCACCTAGTGGAAAATTAGGCTCATCACCTGGGATTAGAAAATAATGCTGAGAACTTCCCAAATTAACACTTGATACTACTTAAAATACTACACATATATTCATTGTGTGTCATATTCATCGTGTGTCATATTCATTGTGTGTCCCGAATATACACATATATTCGGGATAGGTAAGGGTAATAAAAATATTAATAAGTCTCCATCTCTGCTGCCTACAAAGTACAGATGATACAAAGAAATCACTCCACAGAGAGGCATAAAGTAAATGGTATTGTAGAAAAAAAAAAAAAAAGGTTTGCTTATCAGACAATCAAAAGCTAGTATTTCAGGAAATTTGCTAAAAAGGCAGGTTAGTGTAACAAATAAGAGAATAGTCTCCAAGTCCAGACTGTATGGATCCAAGTCCTGGCTTATGTAAAATGAGGATAATTATAGTACCTATCCTAAGATCATTGTGAAAAATGAAGTAAATATATGTAAAGTGCTTAAAACAGTACCAGGAACAAAGAAAGTGCTTCGTAAGTATTAGTTATGTTTATCATTACATGTAGAACAGGATCCTAGAGATGGAGATAGACGAATATTAATCCTAACCCTAACCCTAACTGCTGATGTCTGGCTTCATAAACTTAATGCAGAAGCCGTTTCTTCTGACTAGCATTATTATGGGAATCCTAAAAGTACATTATTTGTGGTACTCTGTGACTAAATTTTGTATTACTAGATGATTAACCCTTTCAACAACAGGCAAATAAAACTGCCTTCTGAAAGTAAAAATTGTATTTCTTACCAAAAAAAGCAAAAAGTCAGTAGAATGAAAGACCCAAAAGACCACAACTTGAACATATGCTTAACAGGGAAAGACGCTTGCTGACTCTTCACAGATTTTGCTAGAACTGAAAGACAGATGATACATTTAGCTACCACTGTGGTCTCATTAGCAGCTTATTTAACTTACCAAAAAAATGAGTCTACTCCATTTTCCTTGAAAAATACCTAAATGTATGAGCATTCGGATAAATAGTATTTAAAAATCATGTAACTGTTCAATCTTTCAAATTTTATACCAATAAAACATTTATGTAAAGATACATGTAAACTTTATTTTCAGGCAAGAAAGTTTGGGCAGAATATTCTTGCATTAAAAATGAGTAAAATATAAGGCAAACCTGTAAAAGGCTAATAATAAATAAGTTTTAATGAAAAATCTAAATACTATTGATGATTACAGCCTGAATTTAATGAGTAAAATATTTTAGAGTCTAAAACTTTTTGTTTTCTTATGAATACCAGTATTAACCATTCACAAGAATTGTGCTAAATCTTGGATTACTTGGCATTATGTAACCTCTTCCTAAGCTTCCTCATTTTAAAAATAGGCAGTAAAGAGTTAGGAAAATGTGTTGAAACATTTTGAATTTTATTTGTAAAGGTGTTAGTATACTGAAAATTGTGTTCTAAAATCATGGCACAAAATAATTTTAATTTCATGTGTATTATTTGAACATTTTAATTTCTGAAACACTTTGAATTCCTTCCTCTTCTACATAAATAGAGTACACATAAAATGTCCTTAACTTCATGCACTTATTTCCTAATACAACTGACCCAGAAAGGTACACACTCTAATAAATAAAGGGCTGCCAAGAGAATTAATAAAAGAGCGGGGAAAAACTTTTTCTCAATTCCCTTTCATATAGAGATGTGTATCAGCATATTAAAACCTCAGTTCCCATAAAGTATATATATGGGTTAAATGAGTATGACAACAACCCATTTTATCTTTTTCCTTGTTTCAATATAGTCCTTATTACATTTATTATATTCAATTTGCAAAGTACTTTCACAGTCCCTGCCTCACAGTATCCTCACAAATGACTCTCTTAGGTAGCAGAGGTATGGACATTAGTTGTGCCACTTACCAGATAAGGAAATGGAGCTTCAGGAAGGCAAGAGGCTTGTACACTACAGAAACAGAACTGAACCTAAGACCTCTGTTTTTGAATTCCTAAAAATGCTTTGCTTTCTGCTTACATTTCTAGAATGGACTTCTTAGTCTAAAAGCCTACTATCAAAAAACCAAATTGGCAATCCAAACTGGCTAACCTAATGATGGAAAACCTCAATCAGTGACAAAAAAAATACTCGGGAAAAAAAAAAAAAGATAAAGAATGGAACTTCCACTTGCACTTGTAGTGAAAACTGCATAAGCCTATATAAAGCACATTAGGAATTGAAGGGACACTGTGTGAAAGCTCTAAAGGTTCTGAGAAAACAACTGTGCCGCCTGCTTCTGTAAAATAGTCCCAGTGACGCGGCGCCTAGTTGTGACTCCCCTTCATGTGAAGAGTGAGTACATGCACAAAGAATGGCCTGTGTGTGTTTGAACATGTGAATGGTCTGAGTATGAATGGTTTGAATATGTGTTAGAGAAATTCAGTATCTCTTCCTGGTAAAAGTTTTTCAAAAGAAAGCTCAATTTTACAAATTTTTTTTTTCTAATATGATTTACCTGGATAGCATAATAAAATTCATAAAATGATCAACAATTTCAGGCTTAGAACTTAACTGTCTAATAATTTAGCACTTATTACAACCATTAACCCATAACTAATTAACTGCTAAGCAATATCTGTATTAACATAATAAATGTAACCACTCCCATTTCATTTAAGACTTTCTGCCAAATAATTCCATGTTGATATTACCTATGTATTTGTGTATTTATGTATTTATGACATTGTGTGTGAATCTCCCTAGCTTAGCAAAAACAGCAAAAGATGATACTTGACATCCTAAACAAATCAGAGACTACTAAAGACCGTTCTATTTTTTAACAAGATTTAATATATAAAGAAAATGGAACAGGGTTCTGGGAGTGACAACACTATTAGTACAAATAATGCAGAACAATGAAGTCCTAACCTCAGGACAGAAATTAAAGAAATGTATAAAAAGTAACATAAATCCAAATAATTTTAAGAATGCCATATTATTCCTCAAAAATGTAGTCAGAGTCTTTGTTTCCTTATTTTTTGTCAGAATGACAGAATAGTGTAATTTTAGACTAGAAAAAGACATTAAATTTCTAATTCCAGATCTTGTTTTCATAGACATTTGAGGTTTTGCCTTCCTTCTAGGGTAAGAGATTCTTAAGACTGTGACTTATTACAACCATGTGCTTTAGTGAAAAACAAAACCTCGGAATGAGAAACTAAATATTCAAATGAAAACATTAAAGATCCTTATTTCCTAAATGTTGTGTATCTTTTAAATGTAGTTAACACATTCTCAAATAATTTTTAGGTGAATTTTATTTATTTAAATTTAAAAAGAAAGTGATGATTACCTTTCTGTGATTCCAACAAAGGGGCACAACAATTTATGTGTACCTTTGCTGACATATAAACTCCATAACAGTGCTTATGGAAAAATAAAATATCCTAATATAATAATAATGTAATGTATTTAATCTGTTTGTGTCTTAAAACATATTCAAGAGAGCTTCATTAAAACAAAGGTTGATAGGGATCCCTGGGTGGCGCAGCAGTTTGGCGCCTGCCTTTGGCCCAGGGTGCGATCCTGGAGACCCGGGATCAAGTCCCGCGTCGGGCTCCCGGTGCGTGGAGCCTGCTTCTCCCTGTGCCTGTGTCTCTGCCTCTCTCTCTGTGTGTGTGACTATCATAAATAAATAAAAAATGTTTAAAAAAAAAAAAAAAACAAGGGTTGATAGTTGTCACAAAGCTCATGATTCTTGGTTCCGTCTAAAAGTTACTTGAAATACTCTACTTATCAGCAGTGAACTTACCATAGAAATCGTAAATATACAGAAGAATTGGCTCATTCTGCCCAAATGCACAAAATGCAACCATATTTTCAAGTGGGTGATAAGAAATGTCTCGAATGGGTGATTTGAATGGCAGGTCAGAATACATTGCTACTTGTTCTCCTAAATAAAAAAAGACATTTAATAATTTGCACTATCTCAATTTTCTCTCATTATTCTGTAACTTACTAAAAATAGTTATAGTAAGTAATAACAAAGCTTGCATTATTTACATGAAAAACTCAAATATTTAAAAATAGTCATGGAACTCAAACAATTATTTTTCATCGTCTTGAATCTCCTCTCTCTACTTCTCAACCCAACCTCTTCAATGAGGTTTTCAAGGCACAAAATTTTTTTAAAAAGAGCTTAGCAGGAGAGAAATACCTGGACTCTGAGAAGAGACAGCTGGGCAAATGCAAATTCATAACAAAGAACTCAGGGAGGACTGGGGCGGGGGTGGGGGTGGGTGGGTAGGCTATGGATTCTAGAACTGAAGAAACTGGCTGAAGGACTTTGGTAGGGAACTCATTTTTCTACTTTTTCCAGAAACTGAGGTACCGCCTGCTTTCAAGATACATGATTATTCATGGCTAAAAGAAGCCTGCAATGGAGGTCTAAGGAGCATATGAACATGGAGCTCAAAAAGCAAAAAAAACCAAGATCTATTTATTGAAGTAGAAAAGAGATTTAACGCTTCCAAACTGATACTAAAGTATCAACACTCAGTAAGAAAAAACAAACAAACCCAGGGCGAACTGATTAGTCAAAAATGCCTAAAGGAAAGATGGAGAGAATGTGCATTAAGGAGGGCACTTACTGCAATGAGCTAGGTATTGTATATTTAAGTGTTGGATCGATAAATTCTACACCTCAAAAATACTACACTGTATGTTAACTAACTGGAATTTAAATAAAAACGGGGAAAATATCAACAGAATAAACACAGTGAACCACAAACTATTGATTAAAGTTACTTTAAATTTTATAAAATTCTCTCAATTTATTGCTAACAAATGTTTATGTGGTTTTAGCTTTTCTTTTGAAAATCAAAGGTAAGGCACCAATGAACTTCCCAATGTAATAGCTTACTGTACTGGGAAAATATTAATTACCATAATTGAAGTAAATCCCTTTTGCTTTTTCTCTTTTAAGGATTTTTACTTTTAAGTACTCTCTACACCCATGTGGGGCTCGAACTTATGATCCCAAGGATCAAGAGTCACATGCTCTATCAATTGAGCCAGCCAGGCATCCCAGATAAATTGCTATTAAGTTTCAGACAGCAAAACTTTGAGAGGAATTGGTTTATTTCTAATAAAAAAATATATTACAGCTGTTTAGCCGTTTGTATACCCACTTACATTTCAAGTTCAGCTTATAAGTATTTTGTATTACAATCTTGATTAAGAACTTCTCTTAATACAGCATAGGGAACATAGTCAATAATACTGAAATAACTTTGTATAGTGACACATGGTAACTACACATTATTGTGAGCATTTTGTAATGTATATAACTGTTGAATCTTTATGTTCCTTGTACACCTGAAACTAATATCACATGTCAACCACAATGAAAAATACTTCTCATAAGATTGATAATATTTCATTATAACACAAGGATAGAATAAGCCTTGAATTATAATGTGAAATTCTAAATCCATGAAGATATCAAAGCAATAAAGGCCAAAGTTAATATAAATTTAGACGACAGCAGAGTCCCATTATCAGCTTTTCCATTTTGAAAAACATAACTGAGAACCTGAAATCAGAATTTCCTTGAAAATTATTCCACAAAATGGTAGTTTCCACACTTCTTCAAAAACAAAAGCAATCCAAAAAAAATTTTTAAGATCAATGAAATATTTACCTGTTTCTGGGTTCCAAACATATACTATACCATCCTCACTCCCAGCAAAGAGAAAAGTCCCACATGGTGTCAAAGTACTATGAATTTTTTCCCGGTAATTTGCTGCACCTACAAATTTCCTTGCTGCTAATCTATAAACAAAAAAGATTTCGCAAATGTAACCTTACTCACTGAAAAAACTGATAAAAAAAACCTTCTCTTTTAAAAACTTTTTTTTTAATACTTCTTTTGCATTTAACAATTTTTTGAGAATCTGTTATGTGGGAGACATTCTACAATGATGCAGAATAATGAAGAGGGAGTCCCAGAACTCAGGGAGTTTATAATTTAGCAGGGGAGAGAAAGAATGCATTAATATAAAACAGAAATTGGATGCAGAAAGTGTCACAAAAGAACAAAATGAGTACTTTGGAGATTTGGGTGAAAGTGATTATTTCTAGCTGTGAAGAGGGAGCTTCCTTTATAGAAGTGGTATTTGAGTTGGTTACTTAAAAATGTACAAAACTGTTATATTCTATTTTTCCCATGTGATAAATTTTTAAAATCACACAAAGAGTAGTTGGATTCTTACAGGAATATTACACAAAAATATTATTAAATCATCTACTAAATATGGTATATAACCTTCTAGACTTTTTCATTTGTGAATAATAGCTAACATTATTTTAGTGCTCACTATGTGCTAGGTAAGCACTATTATCATCCTTGGTTTACAGAGAGGACATTACATACAGTGTCCCAACATATGCTTTTTTTTTTTTAACAATAAATCATAATAATGGCCTTCTGTGTCAGGAAATACTGATTATGATTATGCATTTGTTTAGTAGGTATATTTTATCACACTCTAAACATTCCTTAAGAAATCATCTACTATGGGACAACACTTAGGATATCTGTGGCTTTCCCCTACCATGAACATGAGTTCCATGAACAATCTTGTGTATATGTATTTTTTCACTGTTTTATAACTATTTTCACATAAATTCCCAGACCTCAGGTTACTGGCTCAAATATTTCTGGAGTCCTTGCTATATGGTATAATGTTTTAAGTACTTTACATGTGTAAACTAATTTATTCCCCACAAAACGCTTATGAATATGGTTTATTATTTCTCCCATTTGAGTGAGGAGAAAGGAGAGGCACAGAATGGTTAATCAGTTGGTCAGGGATGAAAAAGGCAGTATTTGACTCTAAGCAGTTTGCCTCCAAAGCTCAAGCAGGATTCTACACTGAATACTGTACACTACTTAAAAAGAGAATAACCAAATTCTTTAGGCCTAGCCTTCTAAACATGGCACTAATCCATTTCTAAAAAAATTCTCTCTCAGCACTCCTTATCAAGAAACTAATGCTCCTACAGACTTACTCACCCTGCCTTGAACACAACTTCTATTATCCTACCTCGGAATTTTATTCCAGGATCTTCATATTTCCCACCCTCCTGATAACACTTCTATTTTACCTAAATTCTATCCATCCTTTCAGATTGAGCTCAAAGGCCAGCCTCTCCATAGAGCCTTTAACAGAAGACTATAGAATAGCCATCATCACCTTTACCTGTTGCCATGAGAGATATAATCCTTTTATGAAATATTTATAGTCATTAAAATAATACATATCAAGTACTTGCTATCTTCCAAGCATGACATGGGTATTATGTATAAAAGAAGAATAAACAGATTCCAGTCTTAGAAGATCTCACAATTTAGCCTAATTAAATGTCTTGTGTTATTCTGGAGGCAGTATAACTAGATATAAACTCCTGATGAACTACTCTGAATTCTCCAATTGCACTGATGCCTGTATCCTAAACAGCTCTGCATAAACAATGAAGTCCTTACCAGTTAGCCCTCCAAGTGAATTGTAGAATAAACCAGTATAGATCACATTTTCCTTTCTAAACACAATAATGAAATCTAATAAAACTAGAGTTCTCATTTGTTTTATTGGTACACTTAACACCAAAACAAAAGCATACCAGAAGACCATGCTGTTTTTTTCAGAACTCTGCTTCTGCTTTTTATATTTAGGAAATTTCCTTTTTTAATTTAGAAATAAAACAAAATAAGAAAAACAAGGATATATTGATCAAAAATCATCTCATTCTGTTACGATATTATATCGTAGTACTATGCTATACCATTATCATAGAGATAAAAGATATTCTAAGGCAAAAGTTTCTTCTTTTTAAATTTTAACAACAGGGCAGCCTGGGTGGCTCAGCGGTTTAGCGCCTGCCTTTGGCCCGGGGCGTGATCCTAGAGTCCCAGGATCAAGTCAGGCTCCCTGCATGGAGCCTGCTTCTCCTTCTGCCTGTCTCTCTCTCTCTCTCTCTCTCTCTCTCTCTCTCTCTGTGTGTGTGTGTGTGTCTATCATGAATAAATAAAATCTTTAAAAAAAAAAGATTTAAATTGTAACAACAAAAAGCAACTGACTATATTTCAGCTCCAGAACTATTCACATTTTGAGCCAGAAAATTCTTTGTGGAGGGACTGTCTTATAAACTGTAGAATACTTAGCAGTATCTCTGGTCTCTATCGACTATATACTATCTGATCTCTATCCACTAAATACTAACATTCAAAAATGCCTTTAGACATTGTTAGACATCTTCTGAGGACAAACTGTCTACTTGAGAACCACAGCTTCATTTTATACATATGAATTAACTCATTTCTTATTCTATGAGTCAGTCAGTATTGACCTGTCAATACTGAAATATATACTTACATTCGGAGATCCATAATTCTCAAAGTACTGTCTTTGGTATGGATTAACAATCGTTTTCCATTGGGATGAACCTCCAGATAACTTATGGGAATCCCCTTAAACTCACTCTCTTTAATTTCCTAAAATGATTTAAAAAGATTATAAAAATATTATCACTTTACAGATTGTCTAATATAAAGCCCCTTTTGGAGTACAAAACTAATTTAAGGAAGTCATTTTTTATCGTAATTTAAAGTATTTTTTTAAATTGTTAGCAAAAGGAATTCCAGTAACTTCACTTACAGGTTGAAAATACAGCTGACAGTATGTCTTTTTTGATTGTTATGTAATACCACATTTAATTAGCATTTCTGTAATGTATTCCCAAATAAGCACTTCATAAAACACAACTTCTAACTCTGTATTTTCTTGCTTACCATCCTATAAGAAAGCTGCTAATCTTTATGACTTCAAAAGTTAGTACAGAATTGACTTTTAAGTTCTATTTCAGTCTAAGATTATGTCTTCATGCATTTATCCCCGTGTTGTCCTAAAAAAGGTATGGCATCTTATTGACATCTTATTCTGAGACCATGTAATTTAGATTGTAATTTTAGGGATTTTTTTTTTTTTTTTTAAGCAACAAGAATCATTTCTTGCATCTGAAGTATTCTGTGATGACATCCTTGGTCTGAGACTCTTTGCCATAGTCCTTAACCACCACACAACTGCAACCAACGACTTCATGGAGTTTTCCCCCCTCTGTCAGTTTCACAGAGGTCTACCCATTCATTCCCTTAGTTTCTTGTTGTCATCAACCTTAATTAGGTTGATTTGGTGTTCAACACAAAGAGCCTCCACCAACTTGACCTACAGAGGCTCATCAGAGTTGGATGCAAGCACACCTAAGATGGGTCTGGCACTTGTCTAAGGCTTTGGCAGCTTTGCGAATCCACTGTGCGAGGCCATGGTGGACAAGGGTGTCTTCAGCACCTCCTGTCAAGTAGCATTAATGACCACTACAGCTCCGCAGCAATGCATTCCTTGGCCATGGTGGAGGGTACAGGTGGAGCCAAATCTTTAGTGCACCTGAGCCTCCAGGATTTTTTTTTTTTTTTTGAGAATTATTTAAGGCAGCTATAGAAGATGCCTGACTTAGGATGTCAAGAAAGACCTATGTACTGAAGGAAAATCTGCCTGGATGAGCCTCACATAGCAAAAATTACTAAAGGTCCTTTTTGTGTGGATTACTAGGAAAAAAGGAAAAAAACTCATAAATACAAAACTGTTTAGACTAAAGTCCAGAGAGTCAGAAGAAAGTCTGCTTTAACCTTCAGGCAGAATAGTGAATTCTTTTCCTTTGATGACCTGTTAGCATGCTTTGTCTCTTTCTCTGAGAGGATGTTCCTCCCCTTCAGAGGTAGTTTGGCACCAGCAGAGGTGGAGAACAAACTGCTATGATCCGAGTATCAACAGCTGAGCCCAGGCTGCAAAGCTGTCAGAGACCAACGCCTGCTGTTAGCTGCTTTTCTAAAGTTACAGAAAAAAAAGCACTGACAGTACACATGGGGTAACGTTATAGTGACTGAACTACAACAGTCTGGGGATGCGATGCACTGCTGGGGGTCTGAGCAACATACAAATGCAAAAGTGCAAAATCAAAACACAAAACTGTCTAAAAAGTGTTGGGCATGAAATTGACAAAAGTGCCAGCAAATTTAGCATTTGTAGTATCTGTTAGTGACTTCCCTTTACTTTTCTTTATCATATTCACACTAAACAAAAAACAAAAAGCCTTAGTTTTGAAGTCCATGTCCTGTGTGGGCCATAGCACATGGACAGGTCATCTTAAGGGACAGAGGAGTATAATTTAGCATTTCTCACGCTGCTGGCTGAAGAGAACTAGGTAAGAAATCACAGTCTACAGTTTGTCCTAGGGCATTAGCTCCTAAAAGAGACTCCAGCTCACTTCCTAACTTTTTATTTTGGACTGTGTCAAGTAACCACCAGGTGGCAGACTTTGAAGATAAGTTTACCTTTTAGCTACTATATTGAGGTAAGGAAACAAATGATTTTTAACACAAATAGTAGAATCTGCACTGTACACTCAAACTAGTGGAAAAGGTGCCTTTGGAATCTTGCCAATCCCTTAGGTATATAAGTAATTAGAAAGTTCTTTTCAGGGGATCCCTGGGTGGCTCAGTGGTTTAGAACCTGCCTTTGGCCCAGGGGGTGATCCTGGAGTCCCAGATCGAGTCCGGATCGAGTCCCAGATCGAGCTCCCTGCACTGGGCTCCCTTCTCCCTCTGTCTGTGTCTCTGCCTCTCTCTGTCTCTCATGAATAAATAAATAAAATCTTAAAAAAAAAAAAAAGAAAGTTCTTTTCAAAGTGTGTGAAACTAGGCTACAACATGAATCCTAAACCATCAATCCTTAATCTGACAGACTAGATAAAAATAACTAAAAATAGAACAGTTTTTAAAATAGAACTGACAGATTCAACAGATTTAACTAAAGTTTGTATAGATCCTTTATCACTTACGGTGTCTTTTTCTCAAACGAGGACAATCGTTACAAGAACAAAGGTACAGCATATAAGACAGAAACTATATCAACTTACATAAAACAAACTCAGGTTTAATAATTCACTTTGTGTTTTTAGTTAAAAAATACTGAATATGCACCAATAAAATTGCTTAATATACCAGCCTTAAAAACCCTCTACACCAAAAATGAGAGACCATTCATTCCTGCCTACCTAGTACAATTCAAATGTAAAGAATTATTGTGAATAAATGATAGACCGACTCATAATTACATACTTTTGATTACATAAATGTGAAAGACAGCACTGTTAACAAAACATTGAGCACACTGGTTTTAGGGTAATGTTATGGGGTCAAAAAAAAAAAAGAACATGAATAGCAGAAAATATAAGGTATTACTTACAGATGGTAATATAACATATTCCTCACTTTAGCATAATTCCAGCAATGGATCATTGAATGTCATATCACAAATTATGGTTCAAAAATAAGAAAGTTAAGTTTGGCCAAAATGAAAATTTTCTCTAAGTTGCTGTGTCATCAATTAGCTATCAGGAAGACTACATAATTAATCAATGATAATTGACTTTGCTGGGGCTGAGAAAAACTTCATTTTTTTTGAGAGGAGAGAAATAATGTCCTGATGTCTTATTTCTAAAGTCATTAGGTTCAATTTTTTTCTAATTTCTTTAATTAATTCCCAAATATGAAATATGATTTTATACCTTATTTACACTCCAGTGGCGCACTGAATGTTTCACATCATTAACTTTGACATAGGTATTCCAAACAACAATCACCCCTGTGCAATCTCCTGAATACATGTGATGACCTATTTAAAAAATAAAATAAAATTACTCACTTATGAATACTGCACATAGGTAGAAACAAGTAATATGAAATTGGGAAAACACATCCTAGTATAACAAAGAATCAGAGGGCTCTTAAATGATATTTTAGTAAAAAAAAAAAAAAAAAGAAAGAAAGAAAAGAAGAAAAGCACAAAAAATCCCAAATACAACTAGTAATCAAATTCCAATTATCTTAAATGAATTCTTCACTCTTTTGAATTACTTTTGATGACTTATTTCCCTTTGTCACTTATGTGAATTTGAATACAAAAAGAAACGAGCATCTCACTACATTTGTAAATGGTTCAAATTCTAAAGCCAAACAAATAATTTGAATTATTCAGTACATATCTGTATTGCCCACCTTTATTAACCTACATAATCTGTTTTATACTCCTGGAAAAACACCTATATTCTAATATATACTGTTAGCAAAATACCTGATACTAGTAGAAAGTTAATAAATGATAAGGGAATGAATAAAATGATAAATAACAGATGTTCCAATTTAACATAAATTCTTAGTCAAACCATCTTATAGTTGAATGGGACCTCAGAGAGCATTAAATTCAACTTTATACTCACTCATGAATATCTTCCACACCATCTTGAACAGATGTTCATTAACTGTGAACTTAGTATTTTACAAAGCAGCTAGTCAACTGATGAACTACCCTATATACCAGAATGTTCTAATTCTGAACAACAGATATCTGTCTTCAGTGGCTTTGGTCCCATCTCTACCTACTGGAGCAACATAGACTGATTATTTTTTTGTTTCACATTTGGGTATCTTAGTCAAATATTTGAAGAAATTCATCCCTCTTTTTCAATTTGAGCTATTTTTACCAAGACAAAGTTTGCACACCTTTCTATCCTTGGTTGACTTTTCTTTTCTGACTTCTTAACATACTTGTAGTAAACTGAATATATTAGCAGTACTGTCATTTTTATCTGGACCCTATCCTAATTAATTATAGTTCTAGTCTACCTATGAGTGTCTGAAATAAAGTAAAGGTGACTATATACCATTCTCATAAGGGTCTGTGGGGAATAAGTTAGCTTACACATGTACTTAAAACATCACAGCACACAGCAAGGACTCCAAATATGCGACTCAGCAACCTCCAGTCTGGGAACTTATGTTCAGAAAATAATCATAGGGATGCTTGGGTGGCTCAATGGTTGAATGTCTGCCTTTGGCTCAGGGCGTGGGCTCTCTGCGGGGAGCCTGCCTCTCCCTCAGCCTATGTCTCTGGCTCTTTCTTTGTGTCTCTCATGAATAAATAAATAAATCTTAAAAAAAAAAAGAGAATAGAATCATAAACAGTGCAACAAAGCTTTGTATATATAGAAAGCTATACATATAGCTTTTATATATACTTTTTTGTGTATTTTATTCACAGAAATCATGTTCATGGTAGGAGAAAGCTGGAAACATCCTAAGTATTGCCAATAATAGAACATTTCTTAAGATGCAATCAGACAACTATATAACATGTACCTGTTAACTGTTACCTGAATGCAAGGTGCCCAGCACACAGTGCCCTCAGTACATAGTATAAATACAGGTTTCCCCTGCTATCTATCTAATATTCTTTTGGCATTTCCCCCCCTTCATCATTTTAACCTTTTAACTCAAAAGCCACTTAAAAGAAACCTACTGAAAAAGAAAAGAAAAAGAAAGAAAAGAAAGGAAAGAAAAGAAACTTACTGAGAGGATAATCATCAATCCAATGAAATATACTTATAAAATTTGGTATCTGGTTGTTACAGCAAAGATTAGTTGAATCTAAACATTTAGGAATTTAATGACTTTAATGATTTTTTTAAAAAAGATTTTATTTAATTTCTTTGAGAGAGAGAGCATGCATAGTGGGGAGGAGAAGGAGAGGAACAAGCAGACTCCATGCTGAGCGCAGAGTCCAATGTGGGCTCAATCTCATGACCCTAAGATCATGACCTTGAGCCGAAATCAAGATTCAGGTGCTTTACCGACTGAGCCACACAGGCACCCCAGAACTTAATGATTTTAAAATTACAAACAAAATGCCCTCACTGCTAAATCTGTGCCCGTGTTTACAATATGATCCACAAATACACGTAAATCTAAATATGTACAATCATAACACACAAAATCCCTTCAAGCTTAGAAAAATTCTTAGTGAACAAAATATTTTTAAAAATTCTTCATTTGGAATATGTTCTGACATACCTTCAATATCAAAGCAGAGAGAGTTGATGAAACTCCTGTGTGTGTCAAACTGTCGGATCAATACAGCAGGATTCTCTCTCATATCAACCTTCCATATCCGTATCACAGAATCATAGCATCCGGTAACCACCAGTTCTTTGACCACAGGATGGAATTTGGCCGTGTAAACAAAAGAGGGATGAGGTAAAACTCTGAATGTATTGCTATTATTTATTTCATTTTTCCATATCCTAGAAAAGGACAGAAAGTTATATATTGCTTCTGAAAGGCAGAAGTTTCTAAAACTTTCTCTAAAGACCAGCACAGCCAGTGGAACTGAAGTAAGCAATGACAATAACCAATGGTAAACTAAATTTCGTAATAATAAAAAATAATGTGATCAAATATTTAATGGCTGGAGTTCTGTACATTTTGACAAAGCTATTTCTTAGTTATTATCAAGTATAATGGTTAATTTGTCTAATTTTAATCTATACTATAAAATGAAAAATTATATTTGGATATATATTTTTAAAAACCTATTTTTGACATTGATTAAACACACATTGAATAGTTTGGTAAAACACTGCATTTAGTACATTACATACAAAAAATAAAATATAGGAAGAACTTTATTCTCTGCTTAGGTTGTATATATTGCTTTTGCAAAATGCTCACTAGTAGAGTTTTAGAGAATAGGATAATCTACTAACTTTTTATTTGTAATTTCGAAGCTTAGATAATGATCACAATCTCAAAGTCTTAAAAGCTATACTGAAATTACTATATGATACCTGAATAAAATAAGATTGAATTATAATATTTTAATAATCATATAATATTGGTTATAAGATTAATTATAATATTTTTATATAATTTGATAATTATATTTTGATAATTATAATATTTTGATAAATCTAAATATGTACAATCATACACACAAAATCCCACCAGATAGAAAACAGACTACATTACAGACTTGCATTAAACACTCAATTTATGCTCAACAGTTTTACTATCTCTTCCTCTAAATAATGGATAATTTTTTAAAAAGTAATATTACTGTCATTGCTACAGTCCTTACAAGAGAGTAAACCCTATGAGTTAAAACTGTTATGTTACTCTGCATCTCTAGTCAGTGCATAAAAATAGGCAAAATTTAGTAACAGAAAGGTATTAAATGAGTGTGAAACACTAGATTTTAAACAGTTTGTTTAAATTATTAGAATTAGAAAATATATTAATTTTTAATAGGGGGATTTTGAGTTCATTCTTTTAATCACAACCTAAGAACTAAAAGCAAATTAAGTCCTTTTCAAAATTATCGATGAAAGAAAAAAATACAGTTGCCGTTTAAGAATAACATTCTATGAGTTTTCTCAGCAGCTGCTTCAAATACAGGATCTGATCTTCAATTACTAAGAATCCAAACTAATAATGAAGGAAGTGAAAGAACATGTTTTCAAGTGAAAATAAAGCACGTGTGTCACTGCATAAACACTTTTACCATACTAATACTTTGAATGAATATATGCTACATGAAATACAGTACTTATTGAAAGAACAAAATCACTAATTTGTAATGAAGATTGTTAGAAGAGTTTTAAAAAATTAAAAATAATAAAAAGAATATAGTTTAAAAGACTGTTAAAATTTCAGTTGCTTGCTTAAAAATCTTAGTATTATTATTTGAAATAATATACAATAGGCAAGAACCAGTGGGAGTTACTCAGGAGACACTACTAACACTTAATGAGGAAGACAGAAGACCCGGCCAGAAGCCCATGCTTCTGCCACTTGGAGCATTAGCAACTCTAATTCTTTTCCTCTAATTTTAGCTTATTCAAAATCTTTACCTCTTTCAAAATCTCACTCTTTTTGGTTCTAGCCGCAATGTTTCTTCCTTCACTTAGTTAATCCTATACAAATAAATACTTTTATGATACAAAGAGCCCTCAAAGAGTATCAATCTCAAAGACACATAAAGAGGTATATTTTACTACAATATAGTATATGCTATGTGGAAAAATCCAAGAGATTTTAAGAAATGGTTAAAACTGAGCTGGGTTTTAAATGATGACTACGAGCCCACAGTGGCTCACAAAAGGCACTTAAATATTTGCTGAGTGACTGCGTTAAGCAGGAAGCCCAGGAAAAGGGCATTTAAGTACAGGAAGAGGAGGCATGGAGAGATACCAAAGAGGGTAAGATGCTAAGGGCATTTAAAAAGATTGTGTGGGTGAGGCTGAGGGTATATGGCAAGTACACAGGAGACGGATGTAGGGTCAATGAGAAATATGCCTATTATGCCATGCTAAGGAACTAGAACATTTTCAAAAGGGTGGTGGGAATCAAAGACTTTTGAAAACCAGGGCAGTATGAAAGATGGTTGTGGAAAGCTGGAGGAACAAGAGGCTGAACAGTGGGAAAAGTCAGCACCAACAGTTTAACCAAGAGGCAGATAGCAAGTGTCTGAATGAAGGTAACAGCTGTGAAGATAGAAAGTGTGACAGAATGGGTAGCCTTTTAGGAGGGCAAACTGATAGACTGTGGTATTGCCTGGATATGGGAAGTTATGGTGGAAACAAAAAAGAAATAAGTGCTACTCTGAGTTCCTGCCTCAGGAGAAAGGGTGGAGGTCATAAAAAAAAAAAAAGAAAAAGAAAAAGAAAAGAAAAAGAAAAACCAACAAGAGGACTAAAAAAGGAAAGCAAATTAGGAAGTCTGGGTTTGGATCTGGGGTGCTACCAGCAGTCCAGAGAGAAGTGTGTAACAGAAAGTGAAACTCCGAAAAAAAGTGGGCACTAGAAGTCAGCTCATATAAGTGAGATTCAAAGATGGGGAAGAGGAGAGAGACCAAGATGAGCACAGCAAACCAGGGAAGATGATCAAGTAGGAAGATTCTGGGAATAAACATCTATAGAGAACAGGCAGAGGAAGAGGAACAAGAGACAGGGAACAAGAACTGGCCAGGCTCATAAAAGGCAAAAAGAAGAGGCTGTTGATAAAACTATTAATTTAAAATCTTTTAAAACGGATCAACAATTAATTACTGTAGTGAAAGCAAACAGGATAAGGATCAACACTGACCACCAGGTGTGAGAGTCAGCAAGAAACTGCTGAGCTCTTAAAGAAGGTTGCTCTAGCAAGGTAGGAGTGAAAGCCAGACTCACTGGGTTGAGCTAAAGATCATGTGTGTAGAACATTCTTGATGGTGTAGAAAGAAAAATAATGTGATAGTATGAAAACCAGGAAGAACTGAGAAAAAGATTTCTTAAAGAGATTCGAGCACATTTTTAATATGAGAGGACAAAATCAACAGAGAGAAAGATATAGAAGAGACAAGAGGGGTATAGGAAGCAGAATCGTAGATTGAAGGACTGAGATTAAAAGCACATGTCAAAGAGTGGCCGGAAAGGTGTCTTTACCCATACATCTTTGTTAGGAGCCACAGAGATAAAGCTGGGTACATTTATAGATACTGAGTGGGAAAGCAGAGGGAGATACAGGAAGTTCATGTCTCATTTAATTTCACTGTTAAGTTGAAGGTAGTCAGCTATTGAAAGTGGGAATATGTAACTCCACGTAGGGAACTCCAAGTGCTGTAAGGATGTGCTACCAGAAGAATGGGAAAAGATATCTGAATAAAGATAAGGAAAAAGCTTGCTCAGCTGTGATGGAAGCTCAGGTGATTTCAAGACTTAAAAATCCACAGTCAGGCCTTTGCAAGGTTATGCACTATTCTCTAGTACAACCCTGCATCAGATAGAATGGCTATGCTGAGAGAACAAACAGACCAGAGGTCCTGGAGGATGCTGTTAGGGGGACTAACAGCAGGTGCCCAGCTACAGAGGGAAGGAAATCAAGTCTCACCAGTTACTATCTTCTGCATTTAAACAGAAACAAAACAGTGATGACAACATCTTAATCCATTAGACATTTTATATTAAAAAGGAAGCTGATAGATTGACAGAGGGGACCAAGGCACTAGAAGCGTCTGTTAAAAAGTGTGTTTAAAAAGCCAGAAGCAGAAATACAGAAGAGTGAAGTCAGAGGGTATCCAGAACTACTCTAAATGTCAGCTTCCCGGTGTACAGAGATAACAAATATTTATGTGTATCCACTCACATTTGTTGGAATCAAATTAAATTACATATATAATATAAAGCATCTTGAAAAATTACCTAATAATATATGCAAGGTAGAACAAGCAGCTAAAACAATGTCAAGGAAATTTACAAAGTAGCTTTTAAAAATTTTATTATGATACTTAATAAAAGTTGGAAGGGGTTAAATTACTTTATGACTGACATTCTGAAAAATGCAAATATTGACAATCTATAAAACTCTTAAAGCACAAGGTACATATTCACTTACACTTACAGGTATCCCCTGCTTCTCGAAAGTTTGCATTACACCACTTTGTTTTTTACCTAAGACCTACATTAGTACCTGTTTTCACTAACCAAAAAAACCTGAAGAGAATTTCTTCTTTAATGAAAAAAAGGAGAAAGCAAAAAAAAAAAAAAAAAAAAAAAAAAAAAAAAAGGGTCCAGCAGTTGTTTTGCAGTGAGTCCTTACAAAGGCAGTGCACATCCCCAGCAGTGAGAGTGGCACTGCCATGCTCTTCCCCAGGTACTACACTCAGCACCTCAGCTTCAAGCTGCCATAGCTTTAAACTCTGTGAGCATTTGTGCTCTATCTCAATTTATTTTGTGCATCCCTTAGCAAGATGTGTCCTACGGTATCAAAAACTCCAAAGGAGGTTATTTTTTGGGTCTGGGAACACTTAAAAAAATTTCCAAATCAATTAATAGTTAATTACTACTTCACTTTATGCCATTTCATCTTAGGAAAGGTTTCATAGGAATGCTGTACTTCTGTATAGCAGAGGAAACTTTTACTTGCCCCATATCAAGCACTGTGCATCACTGTGGCCTGGTCCTTGCACACAGCAGTGAAGAGAGAATCCCTACTATTTAGAGCTTATATTCTAAGAAAAATATCAATTGTTTATCTTATGTCAAACAGTGTACAGTATTAAACAATGTACATAATGTTCATTTAAGGATATGGAGAACTAGAAGCATTCCATATTACATAAAATATATTTAATAAAAACATCGTCAGGAAAAAGTTTTCTACTACTAGTAATTAGTCTGTATGACAGTTCCTCGATAAGCAAAACATTATTGAAGCATAAGAATAGTTGTATCACTTTATATTCTCTGTTTTCCTTGATGGCAAACAACATACAACATATACAAAAAGTACTTCTTAAGTATACGAACCTGGCAGTGCCATCAGATGATGCAGTAAGGATATAACGATCATCATTTGACCAGCAAAGATCATAAATGATATTGAGGTGGCCACACAATTCTCTCATGAAACGCCCAGAAGGAATTTCATATACTAATGAAAATATTCAAAAATTAGTGGGTTTCTAGACAGAGTCCTTAATCCAGTAATAGACAAAAACACAGCTTATAAAAATTTGCATACAAAGCAAGCATTAAGATTATCACCAAAGATATTTTCAGCATAAAAAATGTCAAAGTCTACTTAAAAATAGTGTTTATTTTCTCAAATACAAGAATTTACACATATAAAATTTTACAATATGCTACAATTATTCTCATCTCTTCAAAGCAACTTTCCTAATAATTGCCGACAATTTATTAATCAAATAATAAACCACATTAAAATTGCAATTTACTTCAAAGATTCTATAATTTGGGCTTTCATGAATAAGATATTACTTTACCTGAAAATCAATTAAATTCCAAACAAAATTTTAATTATTTAGAGAAGAAATTTAAACTGTGCTATTGTTAGAAAAAAAATTCTTAAAAAAAAAAAAAAACCAGATTTATTTGAGAGAGCTAGAACGCAAGAGTGAGCACACAATGGGGGAGGGCAGGGAGCACAGAGGCAGAGGGAGAAGCCTATTCTCCGGTGAGCAGGGAGTCCAATCATGGCTCATCCCAGGACCCTGGGATCGTGACCTGAGCCAAAGGAAGATGCTTAGCTGACTGAGCCACCAGGCACCCCTTTTTAGAAAATTCTAATACCAAAATGAAATAATTAGAGAATTAATAAGACCCAATCTGATAAACAAGGCATTCTGTTATTGCTATAAGTTCAAAATGGGAATCTTCAGATAGTGATTTAATTCAGAACAACAAAGTTTGCAAGTCTCTACTTCCACCTAGTGGTAAAACCAAATGCTCTTTAAAATACTAAGCAGTACAGAATTGCTTCCAGAATAGCAGAAGGAGGACCCCAGAGTATCTGCTCCCTGATAAAAGCAAAGAGAACACTGTAAATATTATCCAAATTAACTTTTTCAGAGCTCTAGAAATTAAATAAAGGCCTGCAACATGAAGAGCATTTATTCAAGAAAAACAGCTTAATCTTGGTAAGAACCAGAGCTTTGTGGTGTTTTAACTTGCCATGTTCCCATTCCCCTCTCCCAAGCTCCACAGTAGCTTTAGAAACCAATAGCCTCACAACTTAAAGCCAACAGCCTAGCAGCCATGGGATGGGGCAGAAGAGGTAGGAAGCTCTCCCAAAACCCCAGCCCCAAGATTTATCACTATTAAGACAGCCTGGCAGGCAGTTCCCTAAACAGCTCCATTCCCAGGGCTAAGCTTTATTTGACCTGCCTCAGAGCATGCTCTGTGTGAACAGCCCTAACCCTAGGGTGCTTGCTGAAATAATCAGTGGCATAGTTAACTGAGCAGTGATATCAACTGAGGCTAAGGAGAGGCTGAGCAAAAAATGTAAAAGGAAAAAACTTGAAATGAGATGTCCATAGGGGACTTTGACAAATTCCAACAAACTCCTGAGAACCCAGCAGGACATATGTATGTGAACCAAAGACTAGAGGCCCTCTCTCACTCTGACTGACCTGAAGAGGCTCTGTGCAAACAGGAAGTGAAGGCTAAGGCAGAGGTACAGACTGCTTGCCGTGAAGTGATAAGAGCATATCCCAACACACCATATCCTTGTAAAGGCTGGGAGATCTATTCACTCAAGGTATTTAAAAAATCTTCACCATAGCTGACCACCAAGTTAACTGAAAAGAGACTTCAGCAACAACAAATCCTGAGTGGGTGGGTGGAGAGGAGGCGGAAAGAGAGGAATCTGATGTCCAGACCTGCCACACATGTAATATGGGACACATGAAAAAACTGAAACAGTCAAGTACGGTCATACACAGGAAACAAGGCAGTCCACAGAAACTGTCCATGAAGAAGCCAAGACATTGGTCTTTCCAGGCAAAGACTTTAAATCCACTCTTACAAATATGTTCACAGATATCAAGAAAGCCATGTTTAAAGAATTAAGGTGTGAGAATAATTCTCACCAAAAAAAGCGTCAATAAAGAAACAGAAATTATAAAAAGTAAAAAAGACCAATAAAAATTTTAGAATTGAAAAGTATAACAAGGGAAATAAACAATTCACCAGAGGGGCTCAATAACAGATCAGAACTGGCAGAAGAATCAACTTGAGGACAGGTCGTTTGAGATTATGTAGTCTGAGGAACAGAAAGAAAAAGAATGAAGAAAAAGAATAAAGCTTCAGAAACCTATGGGACCAAGTGTACCAACAGAGATGATGAGAGTCTCAGAAGAGAAAAAACAGAAAGGAGAACAATCTGAAGAAATAAAGACAGAAAACTCCCCAATTTTGTGAAAAACAGTAATCCACACTCCAACAAGCTAAACAAATTCCAAGTAGATACATCATAACTGAACAATCAGAAGCCAAAGACAAATATTCTTGTTTTTTGAGAGAATGTCTAAATTTATATAGCATTTTGAACAAGATTTTTTTAAGCATAAAGTAACACATATTTATTACTGAAATGCTGAAAACATAAACCAGAATGAAAATAACTTTCACTGCCCAAAAGAAATAAATTATTCTGGAGCATGTTTTCTAAGAGTCATTTTTCCTCCACGCATGTTTCAGTGAATTTTTAAAATAGCATGGTCATCATCAAACTACACAAATAATTTTGTATTTTTTTAAAGCTAATATTATTTCATGAGGAGGAATATTTTTTGAATAAATGCTAATCAAGCCAATTAGAAGTCCTTGCTGAAAAGAGTAAATCATCAGAAATAAACTGTGTGAAGCTGAGGGAAGTTCAATACCACATAGCACTTAGGGCACATGCTCATGAGGAGTAGGCTACTTCCTGCTGGTTTTCATTATTATGCAAGAAACAAGGGAAAGTATTTAATGCCTCTCAGTCTAAAAGAATAGGCAGTGCTCACATAAAAAAAAAAATCTCTACAGCTACAGAAATTTTTCTTTTTAATATGGTTTTCCATATTTTTTAAAAGCAATCTGAAAATGGGTTTTTGGCCTCTTTGCTACCTTCCCTACTATAATGAGAAGTCCTCTAGGTACTCCTGCACTATTACCATTCTAGTAGATACGAAATTGGAGGGCTTTCATAATTTAAATTATCACTGCTATCAACTGACCACAATGGGATAGAATTCCTCATGAAGTTTATTAATCCCTTCATGATTCAAAATGTCTGCATTTAAAATAGAAAATGCTTACAAAAATCCTCTTGCATGTTTTAAGAATAAGCTTACCATCTTATTTGATTATTCTCATCCTACTTCTGAAATATATTTTACAGAATATTGTAAAATTATTATTAAAAAACTGGGGAGGGGCAGCTCCAGTGGCTCAGTGGTTTAGCGCTGCTTTCCTGCTTTCCGCCCAGGGTGGGATCCTGGAGACCCGGGATCGAGTCGAGTCCCACATCGGGCTCCCTGCATGGAGCCTGCTTCTCCCTCTGCCTGTGTCTCTGCCTCTCTCTCTAGGTCTCTCATGAATAAATATGTAAAATCCTTAAAAACAAAACAAAAAAAAAACTGGGGATTACTCAAATTAAGATTTCAATGAATATTAAAAACCAAAAATTGTCCTCATAGACTTCAATTAGATTAAACAGAATTGTTACTAACAAATAATTGGATATCCGTCCCGGCTGGCACAGGCTGCTGCTAATATTCTTCCATTATGAGAGAAAGCAAGACAAAAACATCCTCGTTCTCCTGCATTTAGTGAGAAGAGGTGCTTGTTTGGAATACGGCAAGCCTAAAAAACATACATTAAAAAAATTAATTAAGAAATATTAAAATATGAAGGCTAGTTGTTAATTCAATTACTGCAGTGGTAGAGCTTTATTTTTTTAAGTCTCTTTACTGTGATGCAGAGAAAGAGAAAATAAACAGAATGATGGAAAATTATAGTAAATTATTTTACTTCCTAAAGAGAGAATCAGTTCTCCATAAAATAAAGTCAATTTATACTCCATGTCTAGCTAGTACTTAATTAATTTATCTAAAAATATGAATAGAAAATTTCAATATCTGGTACTCTAAAGCTGACACAATTACATGCACACACTATATATAGACACACACACACACACACACACATCACATCCTTATTCCATGACAGCACCTAATAAGTGATTTCTGCTGAGCCATAAACTTGTTCTGAGACCATAAATGTCCTTTAGGGCCTAACTTAAGTCTGGGATGTATGAATATTCATTTCTCTTTCTTTTTAGATCATAAAATAACTATCATTTGTGGCTGCCTTCTGAAAAGTATTTCAAGGTAATCAATCACCTCCTGTTGGTTTCTCATTCACTAATTTCATTAAAATTTCATAATTTTTATGATTTCCTTTCCTGTTACCAGAAGAAACCCAAACTTTCCATGTATAATATCTACTGTAGAAAATACTTTTTTTGTCTTAATTCTACCTCTTCCAAATTTCAGTGAGCCTTAATTCCTGGGTTTATTATTTCGAAAGTTCAATTAAACATATATTGGTCCTTTACTAATGCAATGAATGTGGTACTTCCTTACAAATGTCTTTCCATATATTCATCACAGCACCCTGTAAGTAACTATTATTTCTATATAAAACTAATAAGGATTATTGAGAGGGTCAAGCCCACCTTACTGGGTCTAGTCAAAGATTCTTAGTTCAAGAGTTTGCTTTCTAGACCAGGTGTTTCACAAGTAGCATTAGGATTCAGCAGCATTATTATTAGCAGGAAACATTATAAGCAGCTACTAGGAAGGTAAAACATTCAACAGACATTTATTAGGTGTCCACAAGGTAGGGGACACCATGCTACCCATCTTTTCCCTTCATTCTCCACCCAGATGATTTAGACAAAGAAGAGAGAAATAAAAAGATGAGAAAAAATTGAAGGAAAGGTTAGGTTTTATAAGCATGTGCTGCTGCTTGCTCCTAGAGCAGGAACACAGAAAACTCTGCCTCACCACCGAAGCTAAAAAAATCACTGATGCCACTATCACTTTCTCTGTTTGCCCAGGATTTGCCACTGTACTCAGAACACTCAATGGACATTTAATATAAAGGTCCTGAACACATTGGGGACCTTCTTTCCCCTTCTTTACTATCTTGCCAGTCATTACATTGTGCTTGTTCATTCTATCTCTCTCTTGCATTCATCTCTTATTTTTCATTTTTACCACAATTATTCCAAGGTTAGACCCTTTTCACCTCACTACTGACTATAGCTACTATCTTGACAGTTTCTCTCATTCTGATGTATCCTATCTCAAGATCTCCAATATGCCACTGCCAACATTAACATGTTCTAAGATATGACTACTATCACACTTCTCTCCTACTCAAAGACTCTCCATTATTTCTCATATCTCACATGAAATATTAGGCTACCATTAAAGATACTCCATGATGTGGACCCAATCAATCATATCACTTTACCCCCTTATACTACTGAATGTTTGGATAAATTAAGATTTTGGATAAACTGCTCAGATGTACAATGGCTCAAATGTACAAAATGAACCACTCTACTTTTTGTGGAAATAAGTAAGAGATTTGCAAAACTGTATCTGCAATGCTTCTCACTACTGCAAAATAAGTTAACCAGAAGGAAAACATTAGTAAAAGCTTAAACACCGCTCAACTTGTGGTAGAAATATACATATATGTATTTCCATCAAAATGTGATTCAGGAAAAAGTTGAGGACTATAAAAAAAATCTCATGAATCCATTAAAAAGATCTATTTTTTAATAAAATCCATTTTACTAAGAAAACCCATTAGTGATGAGCACTAGGTGTTATGCAAAGCTGAATTATTGAAAACTACATCTGAAACTAATGATATACTATATATTGAATTTCAATTAAAAAAAAAAGAAAACCCTCTTAGGACATTTACCTCTTAAATCATCAAGAATCTGTTTTTTTTTTTTTATTGCTGTTATGAATTGAACTGTGTCCCTCAAAATTCAAATGCTGAAGCCCTAACTTCAGTACTTCAGAATGCAACAATATTTGGAGATAAAAATCTTTAAAGAGCTTTTTTTAGAGTAGGGTCCTAATCTAATAAGACTGCTGTCCTTGTAAGAGGAAGAGACACCGGTGATCTACATGCACAGAGAAAAAGACCAAGAAGAGGCAGCAAGATGGCAGCTATCTGCCAGTCAAGGACAAAGGCCTCAGAGTAAACCAACCCTGTAAACTTACCCTTGGGACTTCAACCTTCAAAACTATGAAGGAGTAAGCTTATGTTATTTAAGCCACCCAGTCTGTGGTATTCCTTTCTGACAGCTCCAGCTAACGGATAAAACTAACCCAAGTCCCCAAAGAAAGAACCCAAGATAGTGCTTGTATGCACATGATATGTATATTATTAGTTATCAAGTAAATTAATGGAAAGACAAGATTGTGGTTAAAAACAAAGGTAAATAAAAAAAAAAAAAAGAACCAAAACAAAGGTAATCTGAGTTTTAAGTAGCAAGCTAGTTATCCTCAGGAATGTTGGAGCTTTAAAAATAAATAAAGACATCTCTAAATGAATTGAGAATGATCAAGCACTTCACCTGCCCAGGTAGTCGTTTCCACTTCACCACTTCCTTGGAATCTTCTAGTCCAGGTTCGGCATCTACTGAATTGGTCTCGTGGTGTCGTTCACGATACACAGGTTTACCTTTTTCCTCTTGAACAGCAACCACAGAACGGTAAGATGGCTTTATCTAAACGTGTATAGAAGATGAGAAAATGTAAATATCAAGTTAACCCTTTTCTCTTTTCTGGCATATAGGACTTTTCAAATATTGAAACAAACAACATGGAAATGTAACCCAAGAAACATTCTACTTTTATGTACATCACGCTGAATAAGATGAAAGGTGCTTAAATTGCAGTTCTTTTACCAAAAAGCCTTAAAAGTTGGAAGGAAAAAAGAGAACTCCAATGGTCACATGAAATGGTTTTAATAACTCTACCCCTTTGTTTCTGCCTCTTCACCAATCAATACCTACCAGATGTTATGTCACAGCTCTGATATACTGTGATATCCCTTGCTTTAATATCACAAAACTAGTATCATAAAGACCTAAAGTTTTAAAGTCTTCCTTTTCTTAAAAAGAGATTTAACTCCATTCAAATTAATACAAACCAACCCTCTGGTCACACTTATAATATCACTTACAGGATACTGTCCTGAAATGTCTTACTGCAAGTAACACAAAACAAAAGTTTTGCTGTAGAACCAATTCTTTGCTAAAATCATTCATAGTTTTAAATCTATGGAAAGCAGTAGTAGAAACACTATTTACTGATTATTTGAATAATATTATGAAGAGTGTGCCTGCAAATCATGGTACTGCAAATGCCTTAGTCAAATCTAGCTTGCTGTTTTTGCCAATAAAGTTTTATTGGAACACATCCACACACATCTATTTAGCATCACCTACATATATCTATGTAGCTATGTTCTCACTACAAAGGCAAAGCTGAGTAGTTGCAAAAACTGTATGTCCTACAAAGCCTAAAAAATTAACTACTCTTGAGCTTTACAGAAAATATTTGTGAAATTCTATTTTACATCATTCTTTTACCTTTATTTTATTTAATTTTTTAAAAAGATTTTATTTTATTTATTCATGAGAGGCGCAGAGAGAGGGAGAGGAGAGAAGCAGAGATACAGGCAGAGGGAGAAGCAGGCTCCATGCAGGGAACCCGACACGGGACTCGATCCCGGGTCTCCAGGATCACGCCCCAGGCTGACGGTGGCACTAAACCGCTGGGCCACTGGGGCTGCCCTTTTACCTTTATTTTTTTTATTTTTTCCTTTTACCTTTATTTTTAAACACCAATATTATTTTTAAAAAATTCTCCTAACATTGAAACTTATATTTAGTACTTAAACGTTCATTTAAATATCTTTTATACATCAGGTTTAATATGTAATTCTTGAAAGTACTTTTAGATTCTAGAAATCTATTAAAATAATTTTAGAGACCTTATATTTTTAGAAATGGATAATTCTATCATTTAATTTTAACAAAAGAAAGCATGTATTTCTATGTGTTATTAACTTACACATTCTGGAACTTTCAGTCCTCTTACAGTTACGTACAATGTTGATGGATAACGATTTCTTGGATATTTTGACCACCATTCAAAAACTTCAGCAACATTTAATTGGGATCGAGGCTTAGTAGGTGGGTAATACAGCTGCAAACGAAGTTTCGAATTGATGTTTACATTTCCATTGGCTCCAAGAAGCTTAAAATAAGAATTCCAATAAAATGTTATTTTCACTGAAAATAAATACATCCAGTAAAGCAAGAGTACAAAGTCAAAAAATTCATTTTAAAAAGATAAAGATGGCATGCTGAAATTCCTTAGATATATAAAGCAAAGAACATTGACAATGTTGGTTAAACACAATTCCAGATCATTTTGAGAAAAGGTAACACAAATGACTTTTTAAATATTTTCCTGATAGCTGTCTGACCTGTATAATTCAGGCTGTTGGTAAAGCATTTGTATTACATGCCAGATGTTACTTGGCACAGAGGTAATCAAGATACCTTTGTTGGTAAAGCATTTGTATTACTGTGCCAGATGTTACTTGGCACAGAGGTAATCAAGATACCTTTGTTTGGATAACAGTGATAAAGTTAAAATGCACATTATTTGAACACAGAAGCAAATCTTCCATTTGTTTAGTATCAGTATTTTTAATGGTAACTTAAAAAAATTTTTTTTGAGACTGTGCATGCATGGGGGAGGGGAGAGTGAGAGCATGCACACAAGTGGGGGGCAGGAGGGCATAGGGAATATTAAGCAGGCTCTACATCTAGCACAGAGCCTGACATGGGGCTCAATCTCATGACCCTGAAATCATGACCTGAACTGAAATCAGGGTCTGATGTTTAACTGACTGAGCCACACAGGTGCCCCTTTAATGGTACCATTCTAATGTTTTAATTTTTAAAAAGTCAAAATCATTTTCAAGGAGTGATTAGCATAAACTCAAAACATTAATTACATTAAAAAACATTTCAGTCTACTTTCTGAAAAAAGGTTATTCAATAAAAAGCCTATTAAAGCAACTTATATTTAAGCTAAATAAATGGACATGCTTATGAGAAAAATAACAATCTCAACTCAAAATAGGTCCTCTTTCATTAGATTATGACAGTAAGTAGAAAATGCACGTTAAGCCTTTATGTCCTCTACAAATTAGGGGACAGTTGGGTACTTTGGCAGCAGTTCAGGCAGAACACAAAGGTGACAACCTAGGAGAGCAGGGGCTGAGGGCAGGGAATATATTCAGTAGTTGTTACCGACTGATGCAACTTGGAAAGGGAAAGGAAGGAAGATTCAGGAAAGATCCTAAAGCAATGTTGTCCAAAAAACATTCTGTGATGATGAGAACGTTCTATACTCATGGCTCCCAAAACAAGATACACTAGTCACTTATGGTTACTGGGCACGTGAAGTGTGACTAGTGCAACTGTGGAACTCAGGTTTTAGTTATATCTAATCTTAATTAATTAATTTGAAATCAAATAGCCATGTATGATTTGTGGCTACTAAAATGAACAGTGCAACTCCTAAGGCTGTAAATATGGGAGACTGGGCTGATGGCAGTGCTATCAACTGAAGGAGCAGATACAGAAGGGGTAAAGGGTTTAGGTAGGATGTTCAGAGTGGGGAAGTCTGAGATATTTATAGGTTGTCTAAGTTGAAATATCTGAAATCTAAGGCAGAGGCAAGAAAAGTGATTTAAGAAAAGTAGAATAAAGCTGAAACCATGAGTACGATTGATATCAAAGAGGTAAGAGGAAGACCATGAAAGAAAGTGAAGGAATGGTAGAGGGAAAATCAGGAAAAGATGATGTCATGAAAACCCAGGGAATGGGTTCAGGAGAGTGATGTATTAAACACACATGGGTGTGGATAAAAGAAGATCTAAAAAATGTTCACTTACTAATGTGGCAAATTAAAAGTCACTGATGATTTATCTGGAGACACTTTTATAGCTGAAACAAAATCCAGATTGCAGTGTGTTCAGGAATGAGGCATCAATAAACAGAGCTAGCAAAAATATAGCCCATCTCATCCCTAGTCTTCTAGGGAAGGATGTTAAGTCAAATTGGAGGTCATAAGCTGAGAGTTGATGTTATGATATACAGGGATAAAGAACAGTTTCAATAGAGTAATAGAAGCATTCAGCAACTGAATTTTTAGCCCTCAAGACTCCCTTCATAAACCCTACTCCTATCTGCCCAGAGTTTATCATGAGGGAGTAATATTTTAAGGAGATATAATTCCCAACTTCTAAATCATACTTTCTACAGGTTTTCATACTCACTGGGCAATCTAGTTTACACGAGTATGATGCTTAGCATGAGTAAATGAGTAAGATCTGCCCAAGATCCTATCATTATGATTACAATAATATAGTGTAAAACGTGGCTAAATAAGGCTTTATTATTTTATAACTTAATAGTAATATATGTGCACTAAATGAATTAAGTGTCTCTAGCTGAGAACTATGTCTCAATTATTTGGATAAGGGTCTTTTGGGGTTTATTTGGACCACTACAGTAACTTTACAATTATCTAGGACATTCCTGGAACCAATGGTATAGGTATTAACATGCTTAAATTTTATTTTGATTCATGCTACTTTCTAAAAGATTTTATTTATTTCCTTGAGGGAGAGAAAGCAGGAGTGGAGGGGAGAGGCAGAGGGAGAAGTAGGCTCCCTGCTAAGTGCAGAGCTTGATATAGGACTAGATCCCAGGGTTCTGGGATCCTAACTTGAGGCAAAGATAGCCACTTAACCAACTGAGCCACCCAGGTGCCCTCATGCTACTTTCAAAGATGGATTTTTCCTAGTCACTGTTTCCATACATTTGCTACTTCTCTCAACAGACATTCACTGGACACTTTCTGTGTGCTGCTAATATGCTGGGAGCAGGTGATAATCATGGAAGAGAGAGTTTCAAGAGAGTGAAGCAAAGAGATCTGGTAAAGTAAGACCTAAAATATGTTTAACAGATTTGTCAAAAAGAAGTCACTGTGGTGCCTTTGAAGAACTTACAACCTAATGAAGGTGGAGGAGGTACACAGAACACTTACTCTTTGGAGGGCCAGAGATGGAAGAATTCCTGACTTGCCATTTCTGCCAATGGCATAAAATGGATAAATAAAAATCTATATACACTTAAAGGTAAAAATGTTGTAAGACATTGTTTCCCAAGTATAGTTTGTAGTTATTACTGCAGTTCTGTGCAAGTCTTAGTATTTTTAAAAGGAACAAAAGTGCTTTCTAGTAAGACCACACAATGGCGTGGTTTTTGGCTCTTGCTTTTTTTCTTTTCTCTAAATCAGTATGAAGGGGATATAAAAAAATTATAACAGGTTACAAAAGGGTGATTTTGGAAGCTACATTGGATGAAGACATTTCTAAGTCCACTCTAGAACTACTTCCTTCCATAGTCACTCTGGCTTCCATTTAGCAGTCAGATTGCACTTTTTTTTTTTTTAAAGACTTATTTATTTTTAGAGAGAGAGCAAGAGCACATGCAAGTGAGGTAGGGGCAAAGGGAGAGGGAGAGAGAATCCCAAGCAGGTTCCATGCTCAGCGCAGAGTCTGACATGGGGTGCTGGATCTCACAACATTGAGATCATGACCTGGGCTGAAGTCATGGGTCAGGCCCTTAACTGACTGAGCCATCCATATGTCTCAGACTGCATCTCTTCTAAAGTCTCTCTCTAACCTCTCAATATGGATTAAGGGCCTTACCTGGATTTTCACAGCATCCACTCTATAGCACATAATCACGTAAGCAACATGTTTATATAGACACTGAACTGGAGAATAAGAACAACATCTAATTTATCTATGAAAGCTCTGTATTTAGCAGAGTGCCTGGCATTTCCTAGACACTTAATATTATTGAATGGATGGATACACAAATGGAGAAGTTTTATAAATCATACAAAATAGATTAATTTCAAGACTTTTTTTTAATTTCAAGACTTTTTAGAAATCATTTATGTTTGAAGTCAGAAATAAAAGATACCAGAAATAGAAGAATTATAAAATTAAAATTTCCCTATTTGTAAAAATCAACTTATCATGTCTTTATACCATCATTTCCTACCAAGTTTTCCACCTTAACCTTCCAGGATACATATGTATACCCTCTCTAATTTATTCTCCACCAAGCAAAGTAATCTTTCTAAAACATTAAGTCAGATTATTCTGCCCTTTTGTTTAAAATCCTATAATGGCTTCCCATTGTTCTTTAGAATTCTATAATGGCTTCAAAAATCTTGCATAATCAAGACCTTGTCCACCCAGCCATCTCTTCAGACATCATTTCCCCACTTAGTCTCTGTCCCCTAATCTCAGTGGCCTTTTGGTTATCTTTTATTTATTTATTTATTTTTATTTATGATAGTCACACACACAGAGAGAGAGAGGCAGAGACATAGGCAGAGGGAGAAGCAGGCTCCATGTACCGGGAGCCCGACGTGGGATTCGATCCCAGGTCTCCAGGATCGCGCCCTGGGCTGAAGGCAGGCGCTAAACTGCTGCGCCACCCAGGGACCCTGCCTTTTGGTTACCTAAGTGTATCTCACTCCTTCCAACATCAGGGTCTTTGAATATGTGGTACCCTCTATTTAGCCACTGCTACCATCTAGCTAATACTCAGGTTCAATGTCCCTTCCTTAGGAAATCTTTCCCTGACCTCCACAAAATATTTACAAAAATTGCAATAAATGATAAATTGTATAATAATGGTTTTATATCTGCTCTGCTTGTGAGAACATGAAGTCTACAAGGCCATGGAGTTTGTTTACTGACTCGAACTACTGCTGGGACACACAAAGAATTAAATAAGTATCTTTTAAGTTGAATAAATGATAGCAGGGTTGTCTTGTATCTTTTTAAATACTACACACTCAGAACCAAATAATGTATCTGGCAAACATTAGACACTCATAGAGACTTAAGAATCTGAGTATCACCTTAGCTTGAATTAACAATTATTCACAGCCACAATCTTAGATCATAACTCCTTATAAGAAACCAAATCAACTTGGGAAAATGTAGCCAATCAGATTTGAAGATTTTTTTTTAAGATTTCTCCTATTTATTCATGAGAGACAGAGAGAGAGAGAGGCAGAGACACAGGCAGAGGGAGAAGCAGGCTCCACGCAGGCAGCCCGATGTGAGACTTGGTCCCGGCACTCCAGGATCACGCCCTGGGCCAAAGGCAGACACTCAACTGCCGAGCCACCCAGGCATGCCATGAAGCTTATTTTTAAAGCATCCCAAATGGGTGAAAAACGTACCTTGAGAAATGCCCAGGCAATTTTCCGAAAGCCACATTCTTGGTTTTGAATTTCAGAATTATTCCTAATTTCATCCATGCTTAAGAAATCAAGAATCTGTAAATAAGTATAAAAAATTATTTCACAGAATACTACCTACCTAAAATTTAACATTTTCTAGTAACATATTATTGAAATTAAAAAATAATTTGTAATGTAAAATGTCTTTTCTTCATAGAGTTTCTCTTTATTAATAAATCATTTATTAAGATTTATTTCACATCCAAGACAAAGTATTAATTACCTCAAATATAGTCTAAGCACTAATACATCAGGTTTAGAATTCTTAAGCTTTAATCTTTTATTTTATGTATGAGAGCAGACTTCAAACGATTGTTTTAAAAAACACGTGATCACATCTCTGAGTCCTTCCTTGTATCATCACCTTCCTGAAGTTGGGGATTTTCTCTTTGGATATATGCTGTCATTAGATTTCTCAGGAGGATTTCTTTCATATCTCCATCCTATCTGGATGTTAAAACTCATGGATTTGGAACAAAGCTGCCACAGACACCATCTGTATTCTAGATACTTGTCAAGAGACTATAACTTTGAACTTACTGGTGTTTCTCAAAAGCTCAGCTGAGGTAACAAATCTTTATAGATAGCTTAAAAAAATAATACATACTCCATTCATCCCTTTTCTTTATATACTTAAATCTGTCTTCGGACACAATAGATGCTCAGTGAAAAAATACTAACAATACAATAAAAATATGTAACAAAGTAAAAACAACTTGTAATCCAGATCCATAGATGATCAACATTAACATCTGGTTTATACCACATCTAAACCTTTTTCTGTGCTTTCTTAAATATATGTATGTTACTATAAATCCAATGCTAATTTGCAAACTATTTTCATATACTATGTAGTGAATATTTCTTCATGTCAATACACATATATGTATTTCATCATGTTAATCTCTGCCTAGTATACTTTGGTATTATAAATATCATAAATCTAATAAAAAACACTATTTATATAACCAAACCTTTTCTGATGGAAGAGATTTGTCTCCCTAAAATTTTTCTGTTACAGTATTCAAATAAATATTCCTGCACATGTCTTCGTGTTCATGTAATTTTTCCCTTAGTAAAAATACTTAGAAGTGGAATAATGATTTTAAAGACTTCTTATAGATATCAAGTTGTCCTCAATAAATCCTTAAAAGCTGAAATCAAAAGTAGTTGTGTAGACAATAATAGATTATATTAAAACTTAAGAAGCAACTGCTACTCTGGAAAACAGTATTAGAAGTTCCTTAAGTTAAAAATAGAACTATCCTATGACCCAGCAACTGCACTACTAGGTACTTATCTAAAGGCTACAAAAATAGATTCAAAGGGGCACATGCACCCCAATGTTTATAGCAGCACTATTAATAATAGCCAAATTATGGAAAGAGCCCAAATGTCCACTGACTGATGAATGGATAAAGAAGATATGGTATGTGTGTATAAAAACACACACATAAACAAGTACAATGGAATATTACTGAGCCATCAAAAAGAATGGAATCTTGCCATTTGCAACATGAATGAACTAGAGTGTATTATGCTAAGTGAAATAAGTAAGAGAAAGACAAATACCATATGATTTCAGTCACATGTGGAATTTAAGAAACAAAACAGATGAATATAGGGGAAGGGAAGAAAAGATAAAATAAAAACAGAGGGAGGCAAATCAGAAAAGACTCTTTACTACAGGAAACAAACTGTGGGTTGGTGGAGGGGAGGAGGGTGGACTAAGCAAGGTGATGGATGTTAAGGAGGGCAATTGTTGGGGGCGAGCACTGGGTATGTTATATATAAGTGATGAATCACTAAATTCTATTCCTAAAACTAAAAAAACAAAACTCCACCCCCCCCCAAAAAAAACCTTAGGAAGCAACGAAAAAATGTCATATTCCAACAATCTTTCTTAAATTTATGAATATTACTAAAATGAATGTGAACATTATAACCAAATTTCTCTGACAAAGAAAAAGTTCCTTGACAAACAAGTTACATCACTCTTTAAAAAATCACAGCTCTGTATAAATCATACAACATAATCACAGATGTAATGGTGGAATATTCATATCACAAACATATACAGATCATCTGAAAGTTAAAAGAGCATAAAAACAAGTAATTCCACAAAATCAGTCCTTGGCGTTAGTCATGCCCCTGCCTTTCCAATGCTAATTTTCCTCATCTTGCTTAAACTGAGAGGTTTTCTTCACTTCTCTTTGCTTAGGGAGAGATGCCACAAAGTAGAGAAATGTGTATTTTAGATTCAAACCACCTACAAATTACCTACACTTAAAATTGGAGTAACTTTGGGTAAGTAAACTTTATACTCTGAACCTTGATTTCCTTTGTATAAAAACATTAGTATAACAACTCGGCTCAAAGGCCATCTATTTCATAAAATGTTCCCTGATTGCTCTGACCCTCCATTCACCCTCCCCTATCTAGGAAGCTCTACTTCATTTTGGTTATATATTACATTATGTTAGTCAAATGATCTGTGTATTTCTCTCAGTTGTATATAAACTCTAAGGGGGTCTGATACAAAAATGAGTTTACATTTTGTAAAATGGGTTAAAAATGGAGGATTGTATAGCTATAGATTAGATTCATCACTTAAGTTTATAGTCATGGCATTACTATCAGAATTAAATAACAGAGTGAATTACACGGCTAATTACTCACAATGGTAAATACTCAGCAAATATGCTATTACCTGTATTTCTCAATTATATCTCCATAGCATATTACAAACACTAAATCCTAGAGATTAAGTCCTCACACTATTTTGTTGCATTATTAAAATACTAAAAACAATAGTTTACATTTATGCTATTAAACTATTAACCAAAATCTAGTTTTAATTGGTCTATTCTATTCATACCTCAAAAAACAAGATGACTTTAGGGCTCTCATCAAAATCTCGAAGCAAATAGGGAAAGTTTTCATTAAATATAATTTGTTCTTCCCACTCTGGAAGTCTTGATTTTAACTGTTTAAAATCATATGGCTGGGTCATAATAGGAAGAATGTAATCCACACTCTCTTTTTCATAGTAAGATGAAACAGGCCGTCCACTGTCCAAAAAAAGATACTTTCATTAACACATTTCTTTATGATAATTTTGAGATGAGAAAAAAATATAGTGTTCAAGGTGAAGAAATAATGAATAGTCATGATATATAATGAAAAATTATTTTTGTTGTCCACTGAGAAAATTACAAATTTTAAGATGTAGAAGTGGTAGCATCCTACTATCTTGTATTTACTTACTACTGATTGGTTTCACAGAATTATCTTATTATAGAAATTTAAAGTGAGAGTGCAGCATACAGAGCTAGACTCCTTCATTATCGTAAATGAGTTTGGAATAAAATAGTACAGTACACATTGAAAGAAAACGAGCATAAAAGAATTGCAAACGCTTTCAACTGTGCCATATTTTTTGTATGCCCTAAGATAACTGAATAACTTAATTTTGATAATCTTCATGTTCCTCATCCTTGTAATTTTTCCAAGCAAATGACCTTTTCAGATTCTAGTATAATCATTTATTTTACTCTGCTTTCTATTTATAAGCTTCAAGCATGTATCAGCTATAGAAATAATATTAGAAAAAATTAAAGATTCACTGTTTTCATCTGAGGCCCAAATAACAACTTCAAAAGAAAGATATAAAGCTAGACAATTAAGGCATGTTCAGTGCAAACACAGTGATTTACACTGCAAGTTCAATGCCATAAATTAGTCATTAAGTTTGGCAGAAGCTGTCTCGAACCCCCTCTACTTCAAATGAATCACTAAATTAACAATGTTCTCTATCTCTCCTATAAAACATACTGATCAGTATCAATGGTTGATGAACACCTATCACCAGTAAATTATTCTCTAACACAAATCCTTAGCTTTATTTCCATTGACTTTCAAGGGCAGAAAAGAGGACTTCTACTGTAGACAGTTTCAATTTCAAGGGTTGGCTGTGCAATTTAAAAAATTACCTATCATCTTTCTTGACATACTGACCAGTATTCTCATCAATCACATGAATTTTTACCATCGGGTGAGAAATCATAAAATCAGACTTAAGTCGATCAGTACGATGAATGTAAACTCCCAGGACAAGATCATCATCAAGCAAACATTTGGGATAAACTGGACTATCTCGGCTTGTTACTTCATGAACACCATCACCATCAGTGTCTTCATTATTATCAGAAACTAAGTGCATGGAAGAAAAAGAACACTGTAATTAACTGTTGCCACAACAATAAATTCAACAGTATATACTGAATTTACACACAATCTAATCTTTAAAATCCATGACTATTTATCTTTGTTAACAAAGCAACTTCAAAGGAAAAGAAAGCAAAAGCCAGACATTAGCAGACTGCACTCTAAGAATAAAATATTATTTATTAATGCACTGAAATAGGGTGACAAATCTTTTTTTTTCCCTAACAAGGACCAAGAATACCAAAAAAGAAGACAATGAGAACCAAAAAACAAAAAAGTGATTTTTATCTAAGTATTTCCTGTGGAATATGCATCACTCAATTAATTTATAACTGTAATTTCTACTTCTCAGTAGGATGTAATAGGATGTGGCAGATCAATGCTTTCTGTAACAACTTGAGAAAGCCAAATGAATTACAAAAACCTATTTTTAAAGGCATCAGGCCAATACAGAGACAATGTACAGCAGACAGACTAAAATTCCCAAGAGGGAGAATCATTCCGTGGTATGCTGATGGACTGGCAGCTGTTTTAGTCTTTGGGGGCATTTGCTGATTCAGGGTGTGGGCTGAGGATCAGGGTCTGGCCTCTACAAAGGTCACCACTGGGAGGAAGGGTACCCGCAAACTTTTAGTGGTTGATGGGGCAGCAGCAGTCAAATCGGAGATTGAGGAGCTTCAAACATGTAGCTGATATTCCCCCACAAAACTGAATTCTGAGGCTATGTGAGAGGCTAGGAGGTAGTGAAATCTCCCAGGCTTGTGACACTAAGGAAATGATGACCCACAGGGGGAGGGGCCTGAAACAAAACAGGCAAAATAAAGCCTCAGAGGGCACGGTCAATCTTCACCTATAGCTACTTTTATCTGGGGTCACTTACCAATTCTGGGCACCACTAGAGGTTGGGAATACAGGCATGGCCCCAGCAGAGGGCCCCTACTAGAGAACAAAGAAGTCAGCAGAGATTTTGGTGTTCACATGGAGCTGAAGTGACAACAATGGAGACCTCAGGGCCCTCAAATACATAGCCAGTCTCCCCTTCAAGATATTTGCCAAATTTGGAGGAGGGCTAAAGGACCAGGCTGAAAAAATTCAGAAGGGCAAAACTGAATCTCCCACAGTCTTTTAGGCTAAGGAGACAAAAATACTTGATAGAGTCTCAGCTCAAAACTCCTGGAAGGCCACAACCTACAAATGGGGCAAATCAAAGATAAAGTCTTTATTAAAATTATAATCCCGCCCTGACATAGCTCAATTCCTGATGGATTAAAATCAGCTTTCCACCTTATCTGCCTAAGAGAGTAAAGAGGAAACCTCCTCTAGTAGAAGATAAAATCATCTGGAGCCTCTAGCACACACAATATCCAGCATATAATAAAAAGTTACTAGACATAAAAGAGGCAAGACTTACAACCAGGAGAAAAGTCAGAAAATAGAATCTGAAAAAAAAAAAAAAAGAAAAAAAGAAAATAGAATCTGACAAATAGAAGCTGACCCCCAGATGATTCAGACTGGAGTTAGCATACAAAGACTTTAAATAACTATGATTATTAATATGTTCAAGAAAAAAAGGAAAAGATGTGTTAAAATGGAAACTCTACAGAGAAGGAACCCATTAAAACAAACAAACACCCAACAGGTATTCTGGGAATGAAAAATACAGGATCTGAGAGGTGCCTAGGTGAATCAGTCAGCTGAGCATCTGATTTTTGATCTCAGCTCAGGTCTGATCTCAGGGTTGTGAGTTCAAGCCCTGTGCCTGGAGGGCTACTTAAAAAAAAGGCGCTGTGCCTGGAGCCTACTTTAAAAAAAAAAAAAAACAGCATCTGAAATTAATAACTCAATATATAGAGGTGTTTAACAGCATACTGGACACAAGGACAGACATGATTAGTGAAGTAGAAAAAAGATCAGTATCAATAACCAAACTGAAGCATAATGGAAAAAAATTTAAAAAGAATATAGGGAAAAAACATAAGAAACATGCAGTCACAGGTAAAAGAACATATGTGAATTCATAATCTAGAAAAAGAGAAAGGAATAATAAAGAAGCCACAATCTAAAAAGTAATGGCCGAGAATTTTCCACAACTGATAAATGATATCAACCAGTAAACTCTAAGCAGGATAAATTCTAACAAAGCTATATCTAAGCATAATGTGATAAAACACTGTCATCAAAAGCAAAAAGAAAATCTAAAGATAAGTCAGAGGAAAAAAAGTCACAATCCCACTAATGAGACATAACTGCTGGACACAGAAATACGATGGTAGCCAAAAGACAGCTGTATGACTTCTCCAAAGTACTAAACAAAACCAACCTGTAACCTAAAATTCTATGCTAGCAAATAGGGTTCAAAGGTGAAAGTAAAGACATTTTAACACAGTAAAATCTGAGGGAATTAGCAGGCCCATACTAGGAGAAATACTAAACTGAACTCTTCAAACAGATATAAAAAAGAAAAATGTAAATTCATTAACAAAACAATAAATTTGGGGGTGAATATAAATTAATATCAGCTGGGGCACCTGGGTGCCTCAGTGCCTGAGCATCTGCCTTTGGCTCAGGGGGTGATTCTGGGGTCCTGGGATCAAGTCCCACATCAGGCTCCTCACAGGAAACCTGCTTCTCCCTCTGCCTCTCTTATGAATAAATAAAATCTTTAAAAATATTAGTATCAGCTGTACAAAACAGTCACTATAATAGCTGTGAAGTTTAAAATACATGCAGTACTAAAATGCCTGACAAGAAACATATGAGGCAGGAGAAAGATGCAGGAAATGCACCTGACAAAATACGGATGGAATTAAACTATTCTAATGTTCTGGCAGTGTTGGGAAAACATGTTTTGCTAGGGAATTAATTTGTATTAGACCATAATAAATCAAGAATAAACTTAATGTACTTGAGGATAACAATTAAAAAACTGTAAAAGAATGTATAATTAACAAGTTAATATAAAAAGAAAAAATTTTAAATAACATGATAAAAGAAGACAAGAAGAAAAAGGAATATAAGACAGGAGAATCATACACAAAACAGTGAGATAATAAATATAAGAACACAGAAAGATTGCAAATAAGATTTGCTTTTCACATTTACTGAGGGTCTTCCCCCAAGGAGCTCACAGGCTGGGGGCTGAGACGCCCCCACCCCTGCCATGTTCTAGGGTAGGGGAAGAAAAGAGGTGAAGGCAAAAAAGGTAGGAAATGCAGAGACACTGTGTTCCAAACAAATGGGATGCAAAGTAGGCACAGGCAAGAAGGCTGGGGGGGTAGGATGGGTGAGAAATGGAGTAATGGCAAGCTCTCTCCGGACCTGAAGACATAAGGACTGGCTACCCCTCCTCCACCAAGTTGGCACTAGCTGGCAATGTATTGTGGGTAATGACAAAGAAATGAGGATAGGAAAAACTGTACTATGAAACTGCAAGTAGGGTTTGAGGAAAATAAATTATTAGAGATAAAAAAAGAACACTGTATAATGATTGCTCTTATACACTGAATACTTGTGTCCCATAAGATTCATATTCAAATCCTAACTTCCAGTGTGATAGTACTAAGAGGTAGGGCCTTTGGGAGGTGATCAGGTCATGAGGGTAGAGCCCTCATGAATGGGATTAGTGTCTTTATAAAAGGGAGCCCAAAGAGCTACTCTACTATATGAGGTTATAATGAAAGACATCAGTCTACAACCAGGAAGTAGGTCCTCACCAGACACCAAATCTGTGCGTGCCTTGATCTTGGACTTTTCAGGGTCCAGAACTATGCAAATAACTGTTTATTGTTTAAGCCATCCAGTCTATGATATTTTGTGATAGCAGCCTAAATGATTAAGACAATTTGGAAGTGTCAATTTAATAGGAAGATATAACAATCCTAAACATGAGTTTATTCAGTAACATAATTTCAAAATATGTATTTTAAAAAACCTAACGGAAATAAAAAGAAACAGAAAAACCCAAAATCACAGTGCAAATCTGAATACTTGTCTCAACAAATGGACAGAGTAAGTAGGCCAAAAAACTCAGGATGATGAGCTGGACACAATAAACTTGATCTGATGAACACAGGACACTGCACCCAATGACATGAGAATTCACATTCTTTTCACGTGCACATGGAGTATTTATCAAATTGACCATAAACTGATCATAAAGAAAACCTCAATAAATTCAGAGATTGAAATCATGCACGGTATGTTCTCTGACAACAATAGCAGATAGAAACCAAAACAAAATGGTAACTAGAGAATGACCTCCTGGTTGAGATGAAACAATATACTTCTAAAAATGGGTGATCAAAGGACAAATTGAAACAGAAATTAGAAAATGTTTTTATTGAATAAGATATATTAAATGTGGGATGCAGCTAATGTACTTAGATGAGAAGTTCAAGTCTTAAATATGTATAAAGACTGAAATCTTAGAAAATCTATCTTGCAAAGCTAGAAACATTAAATTAAAGAAAACAAAATGAAGAAACCAATATAAATAAAATAATCAAATTAGTACACAAATGTACAAAAGATAAAATCAAAGCCAATGGCTGATTCTTTGGAAACTGAAAATCCTGAGACTGGTCAAGAAATTGAGAAAAAACAAATTATCAATATAAGAGACATGCTTTCAGATACTATAGACAAACAAAATTTGAAAACGCAGATTAAATGATCAAATTCCTCAAGAAATACAGTCTCTCAAGGCTGACAGAAGATACAGAAAATATGAAGAATGATATTTATTATAGAAACTAAATCTTATTTAAAACTTTTCCCACAAAGAAATCTTGGCCTAAAAGGTTTCATTAGTAAATTCTTTCAAACATTTATGGAAGAAATAATACCAGTTTATACAAATGTTTCCACAGAACTGAGAATGATGAAAAATTTCCCAATTGTTTTTAAGATTATCAAAAAACCTTGATATCAAAAACTCTGGGTATTTCAAGAAAGAAAAAGTACAAATCATTCTCTCTCATGACCCCAGATAAAAAATCCTAAACAAAGTATCAGCAAATCAAATCCAGTAACAGATTAAAAAAAAAAAAAAAATATATATATATATATATATATTTAGAGAGAGAGAGAGAGAATACATCATAATCAAGCAGCAGGTCCCTCTAATCGCTGCCAGGAACACAAAGATAGCTTAATATTCAAATAATAATGAACTACATTAATAGAAAAAAATGGTGAAAATTTAAATAACCAAGTTGAAAGATACAAAAAAAAGCACGTAGTAAAATTCAGTATCTCTTCATGATTTTAAAAAACCATTAGCCAATTAGAATACAAAGTAACTCATAAACTTGATAAAGATATTTACAAAAAAGCCCACAGCAAACATTACACTATGCAGTGAATTAATGGAAGCTTTTCCCCAAGGTATTTAACACTATAATGGAAGTACTAGCCAGTGTTTTGAGGAAAGAAAAGATATAAGGACTAAAAAAGGCACAATGAAAAACAATCATTATTAACAGATGATATGACTGTGTATGTAAAAATTCAAAACAATGAGCTCTTAGAAGCAATAAATAAATTTAGCCAGAACACTGGATACAATGTTAATTTTTTAAAAATCAATTCCATTTCTCTTTGCATATATTTTTATGCATGTATGCAAATATACCTATCAGCAACAAACAAAATAAAAATTTAAAAAACAATGCCACTTATGACAGCTTTAAGAAACATCAAATACCTAGGAATAAATCTAAGGACAGACTCTTCTGAAACTTGAAATATTACCAAGATAAACTGGAGATGTAAATAAATGGAGGTGCATACCAATTTCATGGATGGCAAGAATTAATACTTTGTAAAGATATCAAGTCTATCTAGGTATTTGTTGAATTGCGAATCTCTTCTGATTCACCTAATCTGAATCATAATTGTGGGGGTTGGGGAAGGAAGAGGGAGAAAAGAGAAGCTGCTTTTAAAATTCATATGGAAATGCAGAGGGCAAAGGATAACCCAGGTAATGCTAAGAAGAAAAAACTGTTGGAGTACATACATAACTGAATAGTGAGATCTATCATAAACTACAGTAATTAAATCATAGTTGTGTTGATACGAAGAGTCTAATGTAACAGAATAGAAACTGATCCATTTCCGTAGTCATGTTACTTCTGATAACAGTGACACTGCCATACCACGGAAAAAAAAGATGCTCTCTTGTGTAGATGGTATTAGATCAATTACACATTCACAGCAGAGAAAAAAGGGTTTTAACTACTACCTCTCTCTCACCATACACAGGGATCAATTGCAGATGAACTGCAGAGCTAATTGTGAAATGCAAAACAAAAAACTTAGAAATAATACATACAAAAACATCTTCATGACTTGGGAAAGATTTCTTACATCACAGAAAACACTTGGCATCAAAGGAAAAAATGGGTAAATAGGGCTATTGTCAAATTCTACTTTTCAAAAGAATTCAGTAATAGTAAAACCCAGAGTGGGAAAATGTCTGCAATATATATCTATATGTATCTGAGAAAAGACTGATGTCTAGCTATATAAAACATTCTCATAAATTATAAAAGACAATTCTATTTCTTAAAAATACACACAGAAGACAAATTTACAAATAAATCCAAGCAGACAGTAAACATGAAGAAAATGCTCACATTGGAAGCCCTCAAACACTGCTAATAAAATTAACTGGTACACCAACTCCAGAAAATGGGAAGAATTTATTAAAGTGAAAAATACTCATAATCTCTGACAGTGACTCTCTCCTAAGAAGATGCCCAACAAAATAAATATATTAGAAAGCAGTTAGGAACACTTTCGAAGTTTTTCTTTTTTTTTTTTTTTGATGCTAGATTTAAGGAATCACAGCCATGTTCCCAAGTAGCATTTTCCAAGCTGTGTCCCACCTGTTAGTAGTTCTAAAAGACACAAGAATTTCATAAAGGATTCTATGCTAAAAAAATAGATATCCAACAAAAATGTATATTTATGCTCACTAAAAGACATAACTAGAATATACTAGCTTTATCTGTAATCATCTAAAACTACAAACAGCTTAAATGTCCATCAGTACAATCAGTGAATTATTGCAGTATATTCACACAATGGATACCTATACAGTGCAAAAGCAGAACTGATAATTAGCTCAACTACATACAACACAGTATAAAAATCTCACAGAAACAATTTTGAGTGAAAGGAGCCAGGTGCAAAGAGCACAGTATTTCTGCTTCTATTTACATTAAAGTAGAAAACCAGGCAAAAATAAACTGTGTTAGATGTCGAGATAATGTTTACTCCCAAAGGGCAATGAATGTGAAGGGGATTGAAGGGGTTTTTGTTCATGATGTTGTTTCTGGATTCGGATGACAATTTCATAGGCGTGTTCAGTCTGTGAAAATCCACTAAGTGGATTTGTGGTATAACTTGTAACACGTACACTTTTCTTTATGTATATCACACTTCAATAAAGGTTTTACAAACACGTAGTAATGAACCATGAAGCATCATCAATAGCATATCCAATGAATAACTACCATAAATTCTAAAATTGCCTATTTTGGTCCCAATTTTTCACCAATTAGATGGAAATTGGGAAGGAAAAGATGTAAGAAATAGGGAAAATGCAATAACAGAGAAAAATAAGAGGAGAAAAAAATGAGTAAAGAGGAAGATAGAAAGCAAGGATCAGGGGAAGGAAAGCAGGAAGGAAAGACAGAAGCTGAATTAGGCTGAGGATGTGGCAAGGCAATCATGTGTGACAGATTACACACCTGAAATATTTACTGGCTGTTGTTGCCCATTTATAGCTTTTAACAAATAGGAATCTTAATTATATAGGGATTCTAAACTCAATGGCATAAAAAAGAAATCTGTGCACAACGGCAACTACAAAGTTAATGTCATTCTAGGGTTCAGTTAAATTAAGTCAAGAATTAGAGATGACTTAAGTAATATTAACTCACCACAGAGACCCACAGTTACAAATAAATGAATGATTTATTATACGTGAATCCAAGAACAAATGCCAAATATAGCTGACCTTTGAACAATTCTCGGGTTGGGGCGCCAAACCCCTGCATGTTTGCAAATCTGTATTTAACCTCTAACTCCCCCAAAACTTTACTAACAGCCTATTGGTCACCAAAAGCTTTGCTGATAACCTAAACAGTCAATCAACACATATTTTGCATGTGATGTGTATTACATACCGTATTCTTACTCTAAAAGCAAGTCAGAGAAAAGAAAATGTTGTAAGAAAGTCCTAAAGAAAATACATTTATATAGTACTGTACTTATTTATTGAAAAAAGTCAGTGTAAGTGGTTGTGGAAAGTTCAAATCCATGCTGTTCAAGGGTCAACTGTATTCTATTCTGGATTTCTAAAATTATAGTCTTTGGGACTAGATTTTTAGTTTTAAGGATTCACCTAAAATCAAGTTATTTCTACCAAGTCACACATTTTTCTCTTAATTTGGATAACAAACCTGATTTAGCCTTCTTTTTCTTTTTCTTTGATTTGCATTTTGTGTCATCTTGCATGCTGTCTTCTACATTGTCTTCCATTGAGCTTATTTTACCATCTTGATGAGAATCTGAGGTAACTGTTTTAACTGGAGATCCCTTCTTTTGTTCACCTTCACCTGTGTCATTGGAGATGTTCGATATACTGCAAATACAATCCAAGTACAAACCATTACAAATACATTCTTCTTCTTAATGATGCAGCAAAGTGAACAGTAAAGGGAGTTAAGAATAATCCTAAAATCAGTATTACTTCTTGTTAGGGACAATTATTAAAATGGTGACATGTCAAATTAGGTATCAATGGGTATTATTTTATATTTGGTGATGAGTTATATACCCATGAGCCAAATTAAATTTGAGCTCTAAACTCCCAGAAAAGATGAAATTGTATTTTATGAGCAATAGACCTGTTTTTCTGTAGAACTGATCAAAACATCCTCAACTTTGCTGCTAAGCAAATGATTAATGAACAAATTTCTAAATCATTTAAAAGCAAAAAAGTATTCTAAGTTTGTTCTGCTTTCAAGAGGCTTCAGATATTCAACTTTTTATTTCTAGGTAACAATTAATTGCTTGTACTTTCCAGTGGCTGGTATGCCACATTTTCAGAAGGCTATTATTGAAATGAAAATCTGCATCACATGAACTAATAAATGGTATGGGATAGCAGCATAGAGTTATTACACTCAGTGGTAGAGAGAAACCAGACTATTAAAGTTTGTAATTTGGGATCCCTGGGTGGCGCAGCGGTCTGGTGCCTGCCTTTGGCCCGGGGCGCGATCCTGGAGACCTGGGATCGAATCCCACGTCGGGCTCCCTGCATGGAGCCTGCTTCTCCCTCTGCCTGTGTCTCTGCCTCTCTGTCTCTGTGTGACTATCATGAATAAATAAATAAAATATTTAAAAATAAATAAATATAGTTTGTAATTTATCGAGGAAAAATCTGCATCTAAATAAACTCACTTCTAATATAGTCATATTTTTTAAAAAGAGGTTGAGAAATAAAAATATTAAAGAAATATTACAAAATATTTGAAAGCTAAGCTATTTTATCACATCACCAAATACTATTATTTAAAGAGAACTACCTTTCACATGCCACAGTCATGGAACCCATGGTTTTATTTAAAATTCATGAACATTTAATAGTGAGTATGGCTTAACAGTTCATAACAGATATGACACTCTAAGATTGATTTATGGTATACTGTAGCAAGTGGCCTCTAAGATGGCCTTCAATGATCCTCACCTCCTACCATTAGTATCTTTGTCTAACCCTTTCCCCCTTGATTGTGGGCTGGGTCTGGTGACCCACTTATAGACAAAATATGACAAAAGTAATGGATGCCACTTCCAAGCCAAGATTAGGTTCCATAAAGACTGACTTCTCTCTTTCTCTCGCTCAGCTCTCTGAGAAAGCAAGTGGCCATATTGTGAGTAGCCCATATGGAGAGGTTCATGTGGCAAAGAACCGATGATGTCTCTGGCCAAAAGTTAGTCAGAATCTGAGACCTGCCAAGCACCAAATGAGTGAGTTTAGAAGTGGATCTTCCAAGTGTTCCAACATCTCTGTCACTTGCAGATCCTCCTCCAGCCAAGCCTTAAGATGACTATACCCCCACTGACATCCTGAAAGTAGCTGAGTCAGTGGTACCCACTTAAGCCATGCTCAGATTCCTGATCCACAGAAACTGTGAGACAATAAATGTTCATTGTTTTGCTAAGTTCTGGAGTTTTCTTATGCAGGAACACGGTTAATACATATATGAACACGTTCATATAGCAACTCTTTGCTCTCCTTTTTGTTATCACTGGTAGTCTAGCTTTTAGTAAGAGGAATTATTATTGTTTGTATTTATGTATGTATGCATTTATTTATTAATGAGAGGCAGAGAGAGAGAGAGGCAGACAGAGGCAGAGGGAGAAGCAGGCTCCTCGCAAGGAGCTCAATGTGGGACTCGATCCCAGGACCCTGAGATCTCGCCCCAAGCCAAAGACAGACAGATGCTCAACCACTGAGCCACCCAGGTGTCCCAAGGGAAATTATTTTTAGATGAGGACATTAAAGGAAACTGTCCCCAAACACTGGAAAATAATCAAATATAGAATATTCCTACCTCAAGTTATTTACATAAATGTGGATTACAGAAGCAAAGTTAAAGACATTTTCTATCTTGTTTTCCCCAGAGAGATATATAAATATGAATATGATCACAGAAGTGCTCACATTACATATACTAACATATATGTATAAGCATCATATACATAAAAAGACTAAAATACCAAAATGCTTATGATTACCTTTGGATGCTTAGGTTACTTTACCTTCTTGTGTCTTTGTTGTATGTTCTATAATAAGCAAATATTTGTATAATAAAGGAAAAACACTATATTCATATAACCAAATAGGCATTTATAATTCAAAAAAGAGAAATACATTGGGTTTCTATTATTTAATAACCAGATCTAAATAAGTATTTATTTATTTTTTAAAGATTTTATTTTTTTATTCATGAAAGGCAGAGAGAGAGAGAGAGAGAGAGAGAGAGAGACACAAGCAGAGGGAGAAGCAGGCTCCCTGAACAGAGTCTGATGTGGGACTTGATCCCACACCCTCAGATCACGACATGAGCCAAAGGCAGACACTCAACCACAGAGCACCCAGGCATTCCCTGAATAAGTATTTAAGGGTAGAGACCCTAGAATAAGACTGCTAAGGTTTTAGTTTTAGTTCAGCTTCTTGCTGGTTCTGTGACTTAAATCCTTCAGGTTTCCTTATCTGCAAAATAGGGTGATAGTATTCTTCACGTTGTTACAAGGAATAAATGAGTTAATTCTTGTAAAGCATTTAGCACATACTAAAGTGCAATGGAAAAGGTAACTGTTATTATTATACTGGCAATGTATCCACAAGAAAGACTAAAAATTTTCTTAGTGTAACTACAGACATCACTCAAAAGCTGAGAATGTGGTTTTTTTTTAAAGAGGACACTTCATATTTTTCAATGCAAAGTACCTTGTTTCAGCTTTAGATGAAATTGGAACTTTCTTTTTTTTCTTTATTTTTTTCTCACTGTTCAATTTGCCATCATGCAATGAAGAAGTAGTATCTAGGGGAAAGTAAGTCAACTGTTCTTTGAGTTTTTTTCTTATTTTCTTCTTAATCTCCTTTGCCATTTCTTCAGCTACTTGGAGCTGGTATACTTGCATCAGTTCTTCTTCCTCATCTACATTATTATTTTCTCTTTCTTCATCTGCCTTCTCGCTCTTCTGATGAGCAACCCCTGGCTGTGACTTGGTACGTGCTTTCTGATGTGTGGAATCCACTTTCTTCATGGGAGTTTCCAGTTCCATTCCTTGTGCAGTCATCTGGAGTACCGTTTTAATAACTTTTTTACTTGCCTTCCATTGCCTGTCTTCCTCTACAGTAACATCATCTGGATTTTCAGGTGTTGACTGGGAATTCCTTAGTTTGCTTTTAGTGCCTGGCATGCTCTTCTCTAGGTTAGTAGTGTCTGAAGAACTGACATCATCACTTTTAGTTTCTTTACTTTTCTGAAGATTGCTTCTAACAGTATCAAGCTAGGAAAAGAAGACACAGTGACAAAGCTTCAGCCAAGCACAATTCAGTGATCTAAGACACAATGATCACAGTTCAGTGTATACTACTGGGAAAATCATTTCATTTTTTACTTGAACATACTAATACCATTCTAGACTGTCTCATTAGCACTATCCTAGTTTATTCTCTTGGCATTAGATTCATAATTTCTGAGAGTAACTTCAGATTAAATGAGATCATTAACATGGGGAAAAATACTTAATGACTTTCTAGAAGTGAATAAATTGCCCAAATCTCAAATGCTATTTTTCTCTTTGGCAGAATGATCCATACTTTAATTATAAGATATTTGAGAAATTGCTAAAAGAGCCAGAGTTAAAGCACTTCAGGTTCCCCAAAAGAAAACACACCCAAGTCATTTATCTTAATTCATAATCACATTCTAAAATCAAAAGTCTGTAGTTTAGAATTATCCTACAATTAATCCAAATACATCACCGAAAATGCTGCCAAATATTATAAAATTATGTTAAATCACAGACTAAACACACCTGGATATCTTTCTCTAATCAAAATTATTTTAAATGAGATATTTTAAATAAAAATGCTAGAAATCAAAGAGGAATGTTACTAGTAATAAAATAAATATTTTGAGAAATTTCCCAAGGATAAAAATATAGTCAGGATTAGATTAAGAAATTAGTAGGGATCCCTGGGTGGCGCAGCAGTTTAGTGCCTGCCTTTGGCCCAGGGCGCGATCCTGGAGACCCGGGATCGAGTCCCACGTCGGTCTCCCGGTGCATGGAGCCTGCTTCTCCCTCTGCCTGTGTGTCTGCCTCTCTCTTTCTGTGTGACTATCATAAATAAATAAAAATTAAAAAGAAATTAGTAGGAAAAAACATAGTCTATAGGAAAAGACTTTTCTAGAGAAGGGTGGTTCTGAAGAATCCATAAGCCCAGAGTCAAGTAAGCCCAAAGTGAAGTATCCCAGGAGGGGATAACCTGAGGATGACCAATTGAGGAGCTGGGAGGGACAGCTCTGTCCCCTACCTCCATTTGTGTTAGATGGTGACTTTCATTCAAAGGATAAAGCAGTTGAACATAGTGAGACATGGCAGCATGCTTCAGGTAGGTTCAACCCTCACCCATGACAGAAGTAGATTATGTTGGAAACAACCAATAGGCTGGAGAAGAGAGATTCTCCAATAGAAATATGACTAGATATCTAAAAGCTAATAAAAACTGAAGTTGCAAAATGAAAGGTCATAAATTCAATAAAACAGAAAAATTAATAAGGAGGGAAACTGAATTAAGAGCACAAACAAAATCAGAACTTAAAATAAATGTAATTCAAAAGCATACTGAATAAAAAAAACCGGCAGATGTTAGAATTAAAACTTTGAGTAACAGAAATAAAAGCTTAGGGGATGTGTTGAAAAACACAATGAAAAAAAAAAAAAAAAGAAAGAAAAAGAAAAGAAAAACACAATGGGCAAACCAAAGTGCTAGAAGATGGAAGCCAGTAACAAAATGAAGAATACTCTCAGAAATAGACCAGCTTATCAATGAAGACTAAACTTCAATTTTTAAAAAATCCTCATGTTTAAAAGTAGTTGGAAAATATCTAATACATGTGTAAGATGGAGAAATGTTGAAAAGATTAGTATCCCAATATATATCCAATATTTTACCATCTCCAAGACTCTTTTGCTTACCTAAAATAGATTTCCAAATTCTACCTATTCTTCAAGGATTAAATTATGGAGCCATACCTTTCAAAACATCTTCCCTGATCAAATCTAATAAAAAGGATTTCTCTTTAAAAATAAATTTATTTTTACATGTTCTGTTTCTAGAAGAAATATGTGCTTAAAACAGTTAGAAAGAAAAAATTAAAAATAAAAGAACTAGAAAACACGTAAAGAGAAAAAGACCCGAAGCTCAATTCTTACTCTACACAAGGAAAATCATTGCTAATCTTTTCAGAGACTTATTTTTGTCTCCTTGCTATGAATGTACTCATACCTCATAACTTTGAATTTCCATTATGTTAAAATGGAGTACATACAAATATTTTTACTTTCTCAGTGAGTACCAGAAATGTAGTGGCAATATGTACAAATGGTGAAGGAAATAATTGGAAAAAGATAACCAAGAATTAGAAATGGAAGAATTATGGTTTAGAAGATTTAAAAAATGGAATTATGGGACAGTTTAATCAGAGGAGGCTCAGTTTTTTATTTACTCTCTTCCACTTACCTGTCAGTCAATCTTTGTACTAATATCATTTACATTTTATACTGTGACTTTACATTTGTTTTTCATGTTTTGGCTTTATTCAATTAATTTTTAAAACCACACAATAAATACAATTTGTAGGTAGGGTATTTTTTGGTAGTAAATCATACATTCCACATCACTGTACTAATGTTTTTATTAGTTTTTAAATATCCAGCTTTTGGTTGTTTTCATTTCCTTTCTCTTTCTAACAACTTTATGGGATGATTTATAAATTTCCAAATGGCTTATAAATTTTCAATTCTGTTATTTCTAGTTTTGTTGTACTATAGTTAAAAAATCTATTTTATGGACTTTAATGTTTCAAGGATTAGATTATGACTGAATTTTGAAGTGCTCCAAATACATCTGTTTATGTTCTATTATCTCTTTGCTCATCCTTTTGTCTTTCTTTTTTTAAGCAGGAGGAAATCAAACAAGTTTAATAATATGCATCTTTGCTTCAGTTTGTTTTTTAAATCAGCTTTACTGAGATACAACTTACATATAAAATTCACCAATTTTAAGTACAAAATTAAATGAATTTTGGTAAATTTTGGTAAATACAACCACTACCATAATCACGATGTTAAACATTTCCATCATCCCACACGTTCTTGTACAAAGTCAACCTCTAGTCCTCCATGCCCTAATCCCACTCAAGTACTCATCTGCTCTCTATCAAGGTAGTTTTGTCTTGTCTAGAATTTCACATACATGGAATCATACAGTATAACCGGTTTCTGTGACTGGTTTACTTGGGATATCTTTTATCCCTTATAAAATCAGAGTATCTTTCTACACTGGAAGACTGAATCAACTACCTCTATTTTCCTATTTTTAATGTTTATTAATTTAGACTTTTACATTTAACTTTTTAAGATGTCTGAAATGTAATTTGGTGTGTACAATAAAATGAGGCTCTAACTGACCTTTTCCCTCCGAAGCAAAAGCAACTACATTAGCCCTAAACAACATGGGTATGAACTGTGTGGGTTCACTTATGTGTGGATTTTTTTTATAATGCATACCATATAGTACTATAAATGTATTTTCTCTTATGATTTTCTTAACATTTTCTCTGGCTTTATTGTAAGAATACTGTATATAATACATGTAACATATAAAATATGTGTCAATGGACTGTTATCAGTATCTAGTCAATAGGAGACTATTAGCAGTTAAGTGTTGGGGAAGTCAAAAATTAGAAGAATTTCAACTGAAACCCCTACTGTTCAAGAGTCAACTACATACCAATACTAGTTCTTGTATTATAACTTCTTGAAACATCTGGAAAAGCTACACTTCCCTCACTTTTTCTTTCAAATTTTTTAGTTAATCTTCCTTTTTTATTCTTCTGCATAACTTTAGTCTCATTTTGTCAACTGAAAAAAGTAGTCTACTGGAGACTGCTATTGCTGGGCCAACCTTCAAAGAACCAGCATATATAAAGTTCAAGCTTTCTGAAATACCTACTAATACAGAATCTGTATTTTCAAACAATTTATTTTTAAGATCTTGCAGGACTTTTGTGGCTTCTATATATGAAATCTTTATTTTCTGTCCCGCAGTATTTTTTCTGATTCATGGTTTCTAGGCTGTTAACAGATGATTTTTGTATACTTAACCTTGTTCACTTTCAATTGATTCACACAGGTTTTCTCAGAACATTACTATTTGGACTATCAATAATAAGCACTTACCCCCCTAGCTAAGAGTCACACATTTGTCCACGCTACCACTGACATATCGGGGAAGCAGCACCAATCAACTGTCATGAATAAAGCTCTGGAGTTATAAGGATCTGGATTCACTATTATTGGTTATAAGATCCTGGGTAAGTTCCTTGACCTCTCTGTGCCCCAGTTCTCCAAGCTGTACTCCCCATGACAGGATTCTTACATGCAGAGCACTTGGCATAGTCCCTGACATGCAGTAGGGACAAATATCAGGTGAAGAAAATCTCTAACATTATTTACATTTCTTGTCTAATTATATTTACTAAAACTTCAAAAATATTAATTATGGATCCTGATTTTAAAGGAAGTACTTGTTGGTGAAGTGTCTATAGGTTCATCCAAGGACTACTATCCTCTCTTCTCAAAGGGGACTCTGGGAACTCCCAAAATCATCTACAATAATACCTCAGAGAGTACATAATTACCACTTATGTGAACACCAAATTATTTTTTTCAAAAATCATTAATATCCTTTTCCAAGTAAAATATTATAGCTTTTCCCCTTATTTTTATATGATATGGTTTTTATTCAACTTATTTGTACTGATTTACTGATGTTGAATGATAGCCAATTTTTAAGATATTCTTTTTCTTTTAAAAGATTTATTTGAGAGAGCAAGCAAGAGAGAGCACAAACAGGGTGAAGGGTAGAGGGAGAAGCAGACTCCTTGCTGAGTAGGGAGCCCCATGCAGAGCTCAGAGCTCGATCCTGGGACCCCAGAATCATGACCTGAGCTGAAAGCAGACACTTAACTGACTGAGGCACTCAGGTGCCCCCAAATATTTTTTTTAATTACTTTTTTTTTTAAGAGAAAGAGAGAATGTGTGTGCGTGTGGAGGTTGGGGGGTGATGGCAGGCAGAAGGAGAGAGAGAATCTTAACCAGGCTCCATACCCAACAGAGAGCCTGACTCAAGAGTTTGACATGGGGCTCATCTCATGATCCTGAGATCATGACCTGAGCCAAAGCCAAAAGTTGGGACACTCAACCGAGTGAACCACCCAGGGAACACTAAGAGTTTATTCTTAAATTTCTTCTTTCATTACTTTTGTTTCTTTAAAAAAAAATCTGTTATTTTTTTTTTACCTCTGATGACTTTGATAATATAATATCTATTATATTATGGTATCTATTATTATAATAGTGTAATAACATAATAATAATAAAATAATCTATTTTACATATTATTTGTTTCACTTATTTTAAACTCCAAGATGAAGTAACTTCTGACTACACTTTAGGTAAAAGTACTAGTTATAGGACTTTCTCTGCAAGCTAGGAAACCTTTGCTCAACGTTTGAGAACAAGGTTTCTGTTATTTCACATTATCATGTACATTATCTAATATAAATCTTCAGTAATTATTTTTGGCAAAAATAATAAAGAAAGTTCTATATGTTTAACTGGTCTCAAAAGACTCTGCAAATGTATTTTCAGATCATAAGTTCTCTATTCTTAAATGCTTAATTTTGATTCCTCTTTCTGGAAATGATACTACATATTCAAATAATACACCTTCAATTGTATTCTTAACTCCTGTAGTAATTCTCTGTTAATTTCCATGTTCACTACTACTGACCTCACAAACAATGACACTTAGGTGGCCAGATTTCTTGTGACACAATTTTTTCCCTCAATATTATGTAGATATTGCTTTATCTAGATTTAGGGTTCCTAAGAGAAGCCAGAAATGTAGCAGATGTTTCTTTTTCTGTTGAAATACTTGCAAAATTAAATTTTCTCTTGAAATTAAAAAATTCTAAATATAGTTTTCATCTCATAAATTTTACCTAAAATGCAAGATAGACTCATCTCTTCCTACATCTTTCTGCTAATCATGCTCCTTCTACTGTTTTTGCTTCATTAACACCATATGGAAATGTAGGTCAAGTATTTCTTTCTATATGTCCTCATTACTTATTTCATTTTAATTTTTAGCCTTTTTTTCTCATGAAGAATGCCTCAAATTTATCTTCCTTACCACTAATTAGATTTTTCCATGGAACCAATTCTACTATTTTAGGCCTAAGATACAGTTTTTAAAAAGCAACTAAAGGCAGAATATGGAGAGACTGTGGTTTTAAATCCCACTCTATTTCTGGTTATATGGCTCTGGCAAACCTACATCTTTGTTAAGTGGTTTTTCTGTTCTGATGGTTATAAAACCTCTCATGCAAAATAAGAGCCCCAAAACCTACATTTCATGATTAACATGAGAATCAGAAATAGCACTTGGGAAACCCTTATCAGAGTGCCTAACAGATTGCTGAAAAACAATAAGGTGGATCTGCCATTATTATGAATTCTGTTATTACAGCCTTTTCCTTGCTTCCTTTTCTTATTTCAGCCTGGTTCCCTTCCAATCTCAGCCTGTCTGTACGTGTTTTTGTTCTGAAAAGGTCCCATTTCTCCATACGTTATTCAAAGAGGTCCTACTGGGTTGTGGTTAAGAGAGTGAGTTCTGTAGTCAAACTGTTAAGAGTCTGAATTCTAGTTCTGCCACTAACTATGCAAATTTAGGCAAGTTATTCAACCTCTTTGTGATCCAGTTTCCTCAACTATAAATGGAGATAAAACCTCATCATTTTGTTGTTTGTATTAAAAATTAGTGAATATATATAGAATGTTTAGAAATCCTTGAAAGATAGAAAGCACTGTTATTTAGTAAATAAAAGCAGGTATTCCTCCTCAAATTTTTAAAGTAAATCATTTAAAAAATATTTTGTGTTTCTCTAAGTCCTCCAGGAACATTCCCTTCTTTTGAGCTGAAAAATCTCTTCCTCAATAATTTTTCCTAAGATACTTATCCCTGAATTTAAAAAAAAAAAAAAAAAAAAAGTTTGCATGGCCTGCTATGTACCTAAGAAGTCTGGGTAGATTATGTCGAGTCACCTCACACTTGTGTACTCTGAACACCTAAAATGGACAATAGGTAAATGGCTAGCTCTCCTGCCCAGTTTTTGGTTATCCATTTAATTGAGCATTCCTGGCCTAAACTCACAAAGCCCAGGGCTAACAGTAAGAGAAAATATGAGGTTCTACTTTGAGTCCATAAAAATACCCTCAACTGTTTCCAGGGTTCTTTCTGATTTTGTCTAATGTATACCACCTTACCAAAAGGGAGGGCAGAAACTAATATGCAATGTTTCATCCACCATCTGCCACCATACTCACACTGATACCACCAAAAGAAGCACATTCTATAAAAGGGCAGCATCTACTATGGGAAACCTAATCTGCCCCATTCCATCGGTAGTTCTAAATTGGTATGCCACAGTAAACAGCTGTACTATGACCTTCTCACGTGTGTGCAGCTGGATTCTGGCCAATGTTAGTACTTATTTTTGCCTCGCTTAGAATATGTACTATCATGTTGATGGCTGCCAGGAAGAATATTAGAAGAGGTCACATGGCAAAATTCAGAACAGTGTAAAATTTGCTACAAGTAAAATATAAGTTATAAATAAGTCATAAAACTCTTGCCAAAGAAATACCATGTACTAATTACCAGAGCATGCATGAAATTATTTGTGCCTGTTGTGTGTGTGTGTGTGTGTGTGTATAACAGATTATGGTCAAAGGAGTACAAGTTTCAAGTAATACAGTGAAACAGGTATGAAGAGTACATTGTGGATACCATTACAGACTTTCTATAATACTCTGGAATCAGGATGCAGTCAATTGCTGATTTGTTTAGTACTGCTCTGAGTTCTGCATTTTTAAATCTTCAAGTGTGCTGCCAAAAAGTCTATCATTTGAAAGTGTGTCTCAAGTATAAAAGGATAATTATTGCCTTAAGATTCCATTGATTTCTCCTGGTTCTGCTGAGTAGACTCAGATGAGTAAGTCTAAATAAAGGTAAGCCACTGAATATCTTAAGTAAGATATTATTACCTAAATTCATCACAATTCTGGGTCGAAAATCTTAATTTTCTTTAAAAATGTGTAATATGTTGGCCAGTTGAGTTTGCCCATTCTCTCACCACTCTCATCAGTTTGTATATGTTATTCCTGTAGGATCACCACTGAAAACTGAACTCAGTGCCCTAAGAGTCATGTGGATTCTAACATAAGCTTTATTTTACCATGTGCTATCGACTATGAGATAGATTTATCAATTTCCAAAGTTCCTCAGAGGTTTAATATAAAAATCTAATTTCATGCAGATATATGTAAGTCATCATTATCAAACGATCAACTACTCACTGCAATTTTTTCTCCAGATTTGCCAATTTTTTTCTTCAGTTTTTTTCTTTCTTGAATGAGATCATGGTGGGTCTTAAGCAATTCCTCAAAGCAAACTCTGGTTTTTACTTTGGCTTCACTCTCCACTGCAAAGATAAAGAATCATCATTTTCTAAACAACTCTATTATAGCATATACCTGCATAATTATTATGTTAAAGAACACAGTCTTGTAGATACCTGCATGAGTTCTTTAGCTACCTTAGAACTGACCGATCTTTCCATCTTTTTAAATTTTTTTTAAAGATTTTATTTATTTATTCATGAGAGACACCGAGAGAGAGAGAGAGAGAGAGAGAGAGAGAGGGGCAAAGGGAGAAGCAGGCTCCCTGCAAGGAGCCCAGTGTGGGACTCCATCCAGGATCCCAGCCAGGATCTTGCCCTGAGCCAAAGGCAGACACTCAACCGCTGAGCCACCCAGGCATCCCCTTGGGCTTTCCTTCTTAAAAAATGTTTCTTTTGGTTATGGTGACACCACACTCACCTGTATCCCTCTTACCTTTTGGGCCATTCTCTCTAAAAGTTTCTATTACTAACTTTCTACTTGTGATGTATGGAGGCATCTACTACTGTTATGTGGCCTTACCCAATTTACTTAACTCTAAACTTCATCTTCGTTATCTATAAAATCAGAATAATCCTATGTTAAAGATCATTTGTGTGAAGAATAGCTAACACTTACCTAGTCAATAATCAGCATTTAAAAAATAAGAAAAGCTGAAAAGTTATTTTTTCTTTTAAAACTTAATCCAGATCATGTTATTTCCTTGCTCAAGACCTTGTGAGTTTCTCATTTCACTTAGAACTAAATGAGTCCTTCATATGCCTTACAGGGTTCTCACTTCCTGGCCTGCCTACCTCTACAGCTTGAAATCAACAGAAACAGCCCCTTAGATCCCTATATTCGGGCCATACTGCCCTTCTCACTCCTCCACCAGAATAAGCACCCTCCCATGTGAAGCTGCTTCTACTTGATGCAAACTTCCTTTAAACTTCTCAGCTACTTGGTGTTAAGCTGCCTGTTCAAATATTGCCTCTAAAGTGGAACATTTCCTCACAACCTCATCTAAATCTCCCCATGCCTCAGACAGCAGTTTTTTCTTTACAGCACCTAATCCAACTTGAAACTGTATAATTATTTGTGTATCTATACAAATAAATATATTGTCTCTGTCTCTCCCACTGTACTAGCTACCATCCCTACTACTATCATGAGACCTAGCACAGAGTACCTACTCAATAAATGCTGAATGAATGGGTGATTGCCCCAGAGCAGGTGTTGGCAAATTACGGCCTGCAGGGCAGTCACCTACTTTTATACATGAAAGTTTACTGAAATACAGCCATATCCACTCTTAAGAATTCTTATCGATGTTTTCCATGCTTCAATGGCAGAGATGAGCAGTTACGGCAGAGAATAAAACTAAAATATTTACTAGATTTCCTTTTAGGAAAGTTTGCCGATACCTGCTCTAGAGTAGAACATCCATTTTGATGATAAAGAATACAAACTAGCCATATGTTGTAATGATTATTTCCCTTATCCAGTGGAGTCCTAAACTGCCATCTATTAAATACCTACTAACCTTAATACTAATATCTAACATTTAATAGAAAATTGATAAAAAAAATAGAAAACTGACAATATCTAAATGTAATATTTGGTTAATATATTCATGAAGAGGTCAAAGAACTCCTTGAAATAATTCAAAGTTTAAAATAAATAAATAAATAAATGAATAAATAAATAAATAAATAAAATGTATTGCATATATAAATTTCATAAAAGCCTTACCAGTGGGCATATCTCAGCTTTATGGAGAGCATTGAATTGTAATGTAAAGCACTGCCTCAATCACGATCCTACTAATACAAAGAGAATTTATTTGTAGCATGGAATTTACAAAAAAAAAATTATGTAACATTCTTCACACAAGATTATGTGATGATTCATCTACTACATAAGTTTATACCAATAAAGTTCTCTTAACCCAGTCTTATGCAAATGAATTAAATATATTTGAATCAGTTTAGAACTGAAAAAAGGTAAAGAAACCTGGATCGTATTTGAATAAGATATTTATATATTTGAAACAAAAACTTTTTAAAAACCTTGAAAGGCAATAAATATGTACTTGGTATGTTAATGCCATTTTACAAGTGTTTTAAGTAAAGATTATACATGACAATGTACTTTTAAGAAAACAAACTCCACTCCAAAATTGACTTTTCCAAGAACATATGCTATTATATTAATAAAATATGCTTGTGGGTAGCATACTCACAGATAATAAATTTAAACATTTTTGTACCTGCCATTAAAAGTTTTGCAACAACAAAAAAGGTTAAAAGTACAAGCATTTGTACCATCTTCCTCAAATAAATATCTGAGTGTGTATTATTATATACCAAACCCAGGGATAAATTCAGGATATATACTCTTTAATTTCTAATCTTACTTAGTGATGAGGGTGCATATCCAAAACAAACATATTAACTTCCACATTAGAACACAATAATCACACATTTTTAGGAGTAAAACTGAAGATTGTAAAAAAAAAAAATAAGAAAAACATAATTTGAGTTGGCTCAGCAATTATCAGTTAAGGCTTTGGCTCCTTGGGGATCAACACTCATCTTCCTCCAAATATTATGGGTACTCTGGACAGAAAAGTCTGAGAAGAAATGCTAAAAAGGAAAGAATGATTATACACATATACCTAATTATGTGGGTTAACTTACATAAAACAATTATTTGGTACACAGACAAAACAGATTATCACTAAATTCTCACAGTTAAGACTCCTATACTTTATGGATGGCAGCCCGAATATACTCTTCCTAGTAGATACAGATATAATAAGTTGGTCATCTACTTTCCAATCTACCCCAAATTAGCAAAGAGAGAAGATGTAAAGGCAAGCGCATCAGTAATTAAAACCTGACAGCACATAGTAGAAAAAAAAACAAAGTAACGTCTTAATATTTATATATTTCATGGTCATTCAATTTATAGGAAAATAGCTCAACTATGGGACTATGAGTCATTAAGAAAAGGCTTACTTATACTCAACCCATTTTCCTTTAAACAAAAAAATTTATGGTATTTTAGACATTTCAGAAAGATTAAATAAATACTGTGGGGCAAAACAAAGAGTCAAGGATAATTCTCATTTTCTGGAAGCAGAATAATTAGGCCAGTAATACCATTAATTGGAATACAGGAGAAGTATAGTGAAGAAGTTTAAAACCCAAGTCTTAGAGTTAGTATCAAATAGTTAATTGTGTGACCTTAGGCATGCATTTGTTTCCTCATTTGTAAAATTAGTCTACCAGTGTATATTCTAAAGGTTGTTATAAGGGTTAAATGATTTAGAATAATGCCTTTTAAAAAAAAAAGCACCAGGAAACATCTATTATGATTGTACTAGATACTGCTGATGGGGATACTCAGTGAGCTTAGTGGGATATGTTGAGCTGGGGATCTGAGGGGCACTAACCCCAGCTATAAGCACTGGTTCCATTGTCAGATCCCTAGATTCAAATCCCAGTTTTACCTGACAGTAAATTAATCGCTGGACCTCAATTTCCTAATCTTTCAGAAGAGAATAGTAACAGTAAATCGATCATTAAGTTTTTGTAAAGATTAAATGAGAATATGCAAATAAAACTTACCACAATGATTAGAACATGGCAAGCCCTTTGAAAATGACGGCTCTTATCATTGTACATATAAGTACAAGTTTCTGTGTATATTTAGGTTATGTTCAATAGGCAATAGAAAACAGTAATGCAGCGAGGACGAGGCTGAAGATTTGAGATCTAGGCTTTATATTTGTATTGGTTTCAGGGAAAAAAAAAAAAGTGCCAAAGACAGAATTCCGGGAAACCAAAAATAAAGTAAAAAGACATCAAAGAGATAGGTGAAAGATGTGACAGAGAAGTAACTGAGGAAAAAGAGTTGTGCTTTTGGGTGGTGGTGGGGGGGGGATGCAGAGGGAGAGAGACTCTACACTGAACGTGGAGCCCCACACAGGGCTCTATCTCACCACTCTGAGATCATGACCTGAGCCGAAATCAAGACTCTTGGACCCTTAATAGACTGAGCCACCCAGGCACTCCCCAAAGGTAAAAGAGTTTTTTTGTTTTGTTTTGTTTTTTTTTTTTTAATTTATTTATGATAGTCACAGAGAGAGAGAGAGAGAGAGAGAGAGAGAGAGAGAGAGAGAGAGAGAGAGAAGCAGAGATACAGGTTCCACGCACCGGGAGCCCGACGTGGGATTCGATCCCAGGTCTCCAGGATCGCACCCTGGGCCAAAGGCAGGCGCCAAACCGCTGTGCCACCCAGGGATCCCCAAAGGTAAAAGAGTTTTAAGAAAGAAGTTTTCTATCACTGTGTGGTACCAAGAGTGCTGCAAGTTGTGAAGAGTGTTCACTGGATCTGCTGTCTGGAAGTCACATGTTTGCAAAGGTGCTTGTGAAGGGGCAAAAATCTGGCAGCCCCAGGTGGAGGAATGAATGGAAGGTGAGACTTATAGAAAAAACATGTGGATAATTCTTTCTACAATTCTGCTTCCAACTGTCTTCCCCCACCCTCAAAGGCAATGACATGACACAGCATCTTTGAGGGATAAAAAGACTACATAAAGATTATACTTTTAAGACTGTTTCCACGCTCCCATCACCCTATTCTTTTAAAAAAGAAATCATCCTCTATACTGTAAGCAGAAGAAATTTCCTACAATGTAACTGTAATGGTATCATCTCTTTAAGTCTCCTCATTAGATTTCAATCACCCCACTGGAAAAAAAAAGGAAGCCCTTACCGCTGGAGTTCAAGGCTACTTATGAAATGACTCCTTTCCTTTTTTTTTTTTTAATAAAAAGATTTTATTTATTTATTCATGAGAGACATAGAGGCAGAGACACAGGCAGAAGGAGAAATAGGCTCCTGTGGGGAGCCCAATGAGGGTCTCGATCCCAGACCCCTGGAATCACCACCTGAGCCAAAGGCAGACACTCAACCACTGACACACCCTGGTGCTCCACCATTTTTTTTTTTTTAAACCTTCCCTTTTCCAGCCACATTTCCATACACACTCTGAACTCTAGCCATGTGAAACTACTTGCAGGCCTTCAATTGTGCCGAACTCCTTCTTCCCTTTGTACTATTACACACACACACACACACACACACACACACACACACGCATGCACACGTCTCTCCTGAGAAATGCCCTTCTTCTATCTCTAAGAAACTCCTAACTATCCTTTAACGCTAAATGTAAATAGTATCTTCTCTGTGAGCACTCTATAATCTCAAGGGGTGGTTAAAGACTTCTCTACATTCCCACAGTGCCTTGAGCTTCATAGCACTCTCTCTTGACCTTAGTCCTTTATTTTCACCCTAGTAAAATGTCCTATTACCCAGAATTAAAATGGTACCTACTTTATTGTAGGGAGAAAAGGAAATACTGAAAAGCAAAGTGATCAGCACAGTGGCTGGCACACTGTAGATGCTCAATAAAATTACTTTATGTCTATTATCATAATACAACAAGTAAAATACATCAAGTAAATTAAATACATTTACTATTACTTAGTTCAACGCAGTTGAATAAACACTAACATTACTTAATATAGCAAATACATTACAGAAGTAATCATTTCCATTAATGTGTCCCAAGGCAAATACATTATAAAATTAATGACTAATATTTGATTTGTAACATTCCTGACAAAAATTAAGGTCAAACTTAAAATGACAACCCTGAGCCTCATATGTGCCTTTTTTTTAAAAAAAAGATTTTTTTTAAATTTATTTATTCATGAGAGACACACACAGAAAGAGAGAGAGAGAGAGGCAGAGACACAGGCAAAGGGAGAAGCAGGCTCCATGCAGGGAGCCCGACGTGGGACTCGATCCCAGGACTCCGGGATCAGGCCCTGGGCTGAAGGCGGCGCTACACCGCTGAGCCACCGGGCCTGCCCTCACATAAGCCATTTTAAAGCTACTCCCTCACAAACCCTTTTATAGGAGCTGCTAAGAGATACTAGTAAGGAAAATCAACTGCACTACGTTTCATCTCATTTTTCATTTTCTCTAAACATCTGATTATCGGCCAATAAATGTCTAAACATCAAGGGGAGAAGCTACAGAGGCCTGGATAATTCACCCTTTAACCAAATGTCCAGCATAGCATACAGCATAAAAGAGAAACTAACAAAAAACCCTGTATGCATGATTCAACTAATCAAATAGTCTCCGTCAGTAAACAAGATTCTAAATATGGTCTTAAAAAACTTTGGGTGTTGGGATTTTTCAAGTATTTCTTAGAAATCTCCCGGCGTTCTCAAAACGAGCAATCTTTTCCCAGGAAGTCCAAGCAACAGTCAATGCAACAGGTGAAAAAAATGTCAGCATCCTTCTCTCAAAAAAGTAAAAGCCACATACTCCAGTGAGTCTAGGATTCCACAGTAATGCTGAAATACAGCACAAGCACTGGTAGCGGTTCTAAACAGGGTAATTTCTTTTTTTTTTTTAAATTTTTTTTTTATTTATTTATGATAGTCACATAGAATGAGAGAGAGAGAGGCAGAGACACAGGCAGAGGGAGAAGCAGGCTCCATGCACCGGGAGCCCGACGTGGGATTCGATCCCGGGTCTCCAGGATCGCGCCCTGGGCCAAAGGCAGGCGCCAAACCGCTGCGCCACCCAGGGATCCCTAAACAGGGTAATTTCTTCTATCTGTATACGACCCTGGTAAGCGCAGCACACTGATCACCTCTTCCCGGATGTAATTAAGAAGGCGTTTCACAGATTCGAAGCTCAGCCCCAGGTTGACACCCTAAAAGGAAATAAACGTAGTCAGCGCGTACCTGACTTAGACGCTTTTAGGCCAGAATCCGGAGTGGGCGGAGCAGAGGCTGCATTCCCTCCACGGTGGGCCCGGACGCCGCGCGGGAACCGACTCGGCGGGGCTCTTCAGAAGCTACACCGCAGGGCTCCGCGGCAGGGCTCCGCGGCCCTCGGCGGCCCCGCCCCGCCCCCCCGCGCGCCGAGCAGCGCTCGCCCTCCCCCCGAGCCACCGCCCTCCAGAGGGCCGGGGCGGGCCAGGGGCCCGGCGCCAGGCCCGGGTCCGCTACCTGCGGGCCTGCGGCGCACTCACGGACAGCAGAGCCCAGAGCGGCCGACAGCCCGTCCTGCCGGAGCCAACGCTGCGACCGTGCGAAGCGGCTCCCCGCGCCGGGCGGGGCGGACGCCGGGCACTCGCGCAGCCCCCCTCCCGCCAGCCACTGGGGCTTCCAGAGCCCACCCGGTGCCGCAGTGCGGGCAGCGCCCGCTGACGTCAGCACCTGCCTACGCCGCCGTCCCCGTGGCAACCGAAGCGGCCCGCCCCCCCGGCCGGCCGCGGCCCCGCCCCCGCGCCGCCGCCCCGAGCTGCTGCGCCCGGCGCCGGCGGAGGTGGTGCGCGCGCCCGCCCGCCCGCCCGCCCGCCCGCGGGCCTTCCGGCTGCGGCCGCGCGCGGGCCTCCCGGGGCCCGCGTAGACAGCGCGAGGCCGTGCGTGGCCCTTGGACGCTGGGCTCTCGTCCCTGCGCGCGAACGAGCCCTGCGAATGCGCAGGGTCCGAGTCCGTCTGGCCGGCACCTCCGGAAAAGCGTTCAGTCTCTCAGAACTGTGGCCGGCGCCGGCGCCGGCGCCGAACGAGAGGGGCGCCCGCCCAGGCCGAGCAGCACGAACCAGGCAAAGCGGCAGACGCGCCGCCGCCACCAGGGCAGCCTCCCTTGAGGCGCGGAGCGTGGTCTTACTCCGGGCCAGCCTCGCGGGCGAGGGTCGGTGTTTAGAGCGGAACGGAAAGAAAACCCGCATCTTTTCGACACCCAGCGCCGCCTCCCACTTTCTGTTTTCTGCCACAGGCGCCGTTTTTGGCTCCGAGTCACCGGGGATGGAAAAATAGGAGACCGGGCCTTCCCCAGCCCTGGAGCCTCCTGCGGCGGCGGTCGTGCACACCCCGTGACCCGTGACCTGTTGCTCAGTTTGTGAAGTGAGAGTGTTGTGCGTGTTTCTTCAGAGGCCAGCTTTTCCGTCTACATTAGCATCACCGCGCTGCAAGACATGCCCCATCTCGTTTCTCCAGATCCTGTGAAAGGTCGGTGGCGAGCATTACCAGCCCAGTGCATCTTGAACCGAGCTGTTCGACTTCCCACCTAAGGCCAACTGCTCTTTCTGGATCGCTGTTTCGGTTAAGCCACCACCATCCTCCCACTGTTCTGAATACCTGCCGAGCATCCGAGATGCCCCTCGCACCAAATTCGATCCATTCTACTCTTTTGACACCCGCGGCATGTAGCCTAGCCATCTCGACTCCAGCTGCCTCGTGCCAGCCTTCATCACTTCTATTATCGTGAGATGGCCTCTTTACCAGTCGCCTGATTCCAGTTTTGATTCCCAAATGCCATGCTCCGTACCGCCACCAGAATGATCTCGCTAAAAGTGTGGATCTGATAATGCCACTGTCCTGAAAATTCTTCAGAGGATTAGCTGTAAGAGAGAATGTGGTCACTTTGCCTAGGATATAAGACCCTCCGTCTACCTGACTAGTTTCTTCTTTCATTGCCTCCTCTCAGTGCCATTCTTCGGCAATACTGGATTATGTGAAACATGCAAAAGAATCCATACCCTCTCATGTCCCTATTCTTGTACATATTGTTTCCTTTCTCTGAAAAAAATTCATTTTTTTTTTTAAAGATTCTGTTTGTTTATTCATGATAGAGGCAGAAACATAGGCAGAGGTAGAAGCAGGCTCCCAGCGGGCATCCCGATGCAGGACTCAATCCCAGGACCCCGGTATCAGGACCTGAGCCAAAGTCAGACACTCAACCACTGAGCCATGCAGGTGCCCCATGAAAAATCTCTTCTTGTAAACTCTTACACTTCCATATCAGACCCAAACATTGTCCATACTTGGAATCCATCTACTCCCCCCCCCCCCCCCACAGAGCCCTCTGTTAAAGAGATGTAAGGAGCAACGAGCATGTAGTTCCTAGATCTTGGTTTCTAAACACCATTCTCTACTAAAAGACACTAGACCCTCTTGGGGAAATGATTGATTGAGAAGAGGAGCAGGGAATGTACAACATGAGCCTGAAAAATCTTGTTGTACCAGAAATTAAAGAAGTTTTTACCGACTGGTGGAAGATATGAAAGGGAAAGAGAAGCCAGCTTGAAGGAGCCTCCATTGGCCCCGTATGGGTCAATTTGAACACCATTATCATAATGTTAATAGATTATGATCTGCTAAATAAAATAGGAATACTTGAGTCTATACTGAAATAAATACATGGGTATTCTTTTTTTTTTTATAAAGTTTTTTTTTTAATCTTTTTTTTAATTTTTATTTATTTATTTATGATAGTCACACAGAGAGAGAGAGAGAGAGAGAGGAGAGAGAGAAGCAGGCTCCATGCATCGGGAGCCCGATGTGGGATTCGATCCCGGGTCGCCAGGATCGCGCCCTGGGCCAAAGGCAGGCGCCAAACCGCTGCGCCACCCAGGGATCCCATACATGGGTATTCTTAAGTGGGCATAAACACTCACTCTTCCTTATGTTACATTGGCAACTAATAAATGTAGAAGGAATGATAGAGGTAGAAATATCACCATTTGGCAACTATTGTAGTAAAAATGGATTCAGCCAAGCATCATCAACATATGCTAAAACTAGAGGGTAAGAATCTTAAAAGGAACATTATAGTGTCAAAGTATCTCCTGGCCGTATCCTAATTACAAAGGGAAAAATAGAAACCTGATAGTGCAGAAATCTGGCACTGGTGAGAAAAGTTAGCATCCCCAGTAATAGGACAAATCAGCATTGTATGCCACCTGGTAAGAGACACTTAGAACACTCTTTTGTGATTTTCCTGCCAAAAAATGCATTGTTATTCTTCTGAGGAAGAATCAGACAACCTCAGATTGAGGGACATTTTACAAAATCATAGATCTTTACTCTTTAAAAGTTTGTTAAGGTCATGAAAGACAACAGAACAACAAAAGAACTTTTTCAGATTGTAGGAAACTAAAGAGACATGGCAACTAAATGGAACATATAACTCTGCATTGGATCCTTTTTTTTTTTTTTTTTTTTTTTTTTTTTTTTTTTTGTAAAAGATACTACTGGGAAAACTGACAAAATTTGAATTGGGTTTGTGGACTAGATGGTATTTCAACAAAGTTAATTTCCTGACTTTGATAACTATTAGTCTGGTCATGTAGGAAATACCTTTGTTTCCAGAAAATACACACTGAAGTATTTAAATATCATGAAACTTCATGTCTGCAACTTACTCAAATGGTTCAGGAAAAAAATATATATATATAAACATAAGTAGAATATGAGTATGTATAGAGACAGAGTGATAAAGCAAATGTAGTATGTCAACAGTTGGAGAATTTGGGCAAAGATAGAAATTCTTTGAACTATTACAAATTTTTCTGTAAGTTTGAAAGTATTTTAATTTTTTTATTTTATTTATTTATGATAGGCACACAGTGAGAGAGAGAGAGAGGCAGAGACACAGGCAGAGGGAGAAGCAGCTCCATGCACCGGGAGCCCGACGTGGGATTCGATCCCGGGTCTCCAGGATCGCGCCCTGGGCCAAAGGCAGGCGCTAAACCGCTGCGCCACCCAGGGATCCCAAGTTTGAAAGTATTTTAAAAGAATAAAAAATGTTTTAAAGGTACTGGGGTTTCTGGCTTCGGTAACTGGATGGAAAATGGCTAATTAACTGGATAGGTAGGAAGAGCAGATATAGAGGAAAGATAGTTTCAGTAGGATATATCAAAAAGGCAATCAGATATACAGCAAACATATAAGTGATCCCCATTCAAACTGAAGAAAGCAGATATGCTGCTTTCTTTCTCACTGGTTCAGTGTACAAGAGGGAGCTCACTTTAATGATGTTTAAAGATACAAGCAATTAAAAGTAGCAGTGGAAGTAATCATAAAATTGGCCAACCATTCATGAAATCAATTTAGGTATTCACAATGTGTGATAAATTTAAAAAATAGTGAATTTATTGAGTAAAACATAGTATGGCTGATAGACAAAATATTTATCCCCCCATACAAAATGTACATTAATCAACCAAAACAGATGTTGGCTCAACTGCTTGTATTACATTGCTCGGTCTGCCATACAAAGTACCATAGAATGATTGGCTTAAACAACAAAAATTTATTTTCTCACAATTCTGGAGATTAGAAGTTCAAGATCAAGATGTTGGCAAGGTTAGTTTCTTCTGAGGCCTCTCTTCTTGGCTTATAGATAGCTGCTTTGTCCTTATGTCTTCTCGTAGTCTACTCTCTTTACCTGGGTCCTAATCTTCTCTTCTTAGAGAGACAACAGTTATATTGGATTAGGGCTCACCCCAACGACCTAATTCCAATGTAATTACCTCTTTAAAAATCTTTTGTCCAAATATAATCACATTCTGAAGTTCTAGGGGTTAGGATTTAAACACGTGTTTTTAAAAAATATAAAATAAATAAAAATAAATAAATAAATAAACGTGTATTTTTAGGGGGAGTGTCAAAATTTAGCTTGCAACACTGCTGATATTGTGCTAGAAGTACAGCAGAATGCAAAGATTGGAACTGTTTGGATTCTCACTTAGAACAAACTTCATAAAGACATTTCAGGCAATGAGATTTTTCAGTATGGGCTAAGTATTAGATGATATTAAAGGAATTTTAAATTTATATCTGTGTAAAGGAAATAATGGCATTGTGATTATGTAAGAATAAGCCTTTCTTAAGTCCATAGAATACCATGATATAATGTCTGAAATTTCCTTTAAAATAGTCCAGAAAATTAAAAAAAAAACAGCTGGGGAAAGATAACACAGATATAACTAAATTTTGATGGTCATTGAAGCTGGCTAATAGCTATCTGGTATTTTATTATACTTTTTCTCTGTGTGTTTGGAAATTTTTGTTTTAAGCAGGCAAAACAAAAGTAGGAAAACT